ACACTAACAATGACTAAGCATATCCATATATAATATAATAGGATATTTATGTAATACACACATATATAATATAATATAATATATAAATTAAATGGAAAAATATTAAATATTTAAACTATATAATTTTATAAATACGGAGTTTCACAGTGTTACTATAAATAACTTTTTATTTATTTATTTATAAATATGCATTAAGAAAGAGATGGCAATTTTCCCTACTGGTAAAGGTACCCTTACCCGTGAAGACCCGTCTTCATGGGGCTTCGACATAAAAACAGGTATGGGGATGGGTTCGGGGAATTTTTCATGTATGGTATCGGGAAGGGGCGGGGTTGGTATTCTAATCCCCAACCTGAACCCGCTCATTTAGATTTTATATATATGGTGATGCTACCTCTATAATGATGGTCATGTCTTGGACATGTAGGTTTGACATGTATTAATATTTAATTTTTAATTTAATAAACAATTTGAATTAATTACATATCTTGTGCTCATAGTTTTTTTTTTTTTTTTACGTTTAAATTTTTTTTTTGTTTTTTTTTTTTTTTTTTTTTTATGGGGCGGGTCAGAAACCCATTCCCCAATGAAGGTAGGGAATCCCCAATTTGAATACTACGAGTCTGAAGGCAGAATGGGGGACGAGGATGGGAATGGAAATGACGTACCCACCTTAGATTCAATACATTATCATCCCTATAAGAAAACCACCAGTAGGCCTCTCGTGGCCATTAGCCCCCCAAATATACAGTATTATCTATTCAGGTTGCTTTAACACTGTAAAAATATATTTATTATATTTAAAAAAAGAGAGAAGTTTTTTTCTTCTAGTCCCACCCCTAATTGGGAACTTATTCAAGCATTCTGTAATTTTACATCATATGTTCTTTTCATATTAAAATTTCACTTGTATACAAGCATTTATAGTATATGAAATTTCCAAAGAGAATTCTCTTTGTAATTGATATTCATTTATAAAAAAAGGAAAAAAAAAAGTAAAATTTGTTAATATATTCCTTACTAAATTGTAAGGGATAGATCAGGTAGTTAATTTATTTTTGCACTTGAGGTCATGTGTTTGATTCCTCACTCCCTAATATTTTACTTGCATTTGAAGGGAAAAAAAAAAGTATTTTCAATTACATAACCTATTAAAGAAAAAGGATGAATGTGGCAATATATTTCTTACCAAAAATAACGTTGGCATGATGTGACACCCATACATGAATATCATATACTGGACAATATTCATGGTATTTATTGTTGATGGGGCATATTCTAATATGTATTAGCTAGATACTTCTATGTGTGAATCTCTCCAAAGCATTCTTGGCCTATAAATTGTTGGGCATCCCACATAACCAATGTGTCTCAACATACAAAATACATACAAAGATGGACAAATTGATAATTTTGTTACTGATTTTTGCATTCATTACCATGTGTGAGGGTAAATTTTGGGGTGTAACGCATGTTAAAATTATCAATGGTTTGGAACCAGCAGCAGATGTTAGCGTTCATTGTAAATCCAAAGACGATGATCTTGGTGCTCGTCAACTTCAGTACAATGCTAGCTTTCAGTTTCAGTTTAGGCCCAACTTTTGGGGAAGTACACAATTCTACTGCAGCTTTGTGTGGCCAAAACAAATTCAGTGGTTCGACATTTTCGAACACAGCAGGGATGATTGCAAGTTTTGTACGTGGATTGTCAAAACTGGAGGTCCATGTATGTACAATTATGCCTCCGAGAGCTTTGATCAATGTCATTCCTGGAACAAGAAAATTTGATGTGCATTTTACAACTTGATCAAGGGTTGCTCTAAGTTGTGTTCTAACTTTCCATTCATGAATAATTGTTTTGTTCTCTCTCTCTCTTTTTTTTTTTTTTTTTTTTTTTTTTTTTTGAGTGCATGACATGTTAGATATATCCATTAGGCAATTTCGGTACATCTACCATAACATTTTTTGTAGTAAAATAATATATGCATTGGCAATCCAAAAAAAAAAAAAAAAAAGAAAAAAAATAGCATTAAGAAAACCAGTACCCTCAAAGCATACTGAAGTAAAGGTGAATAATATCTCTAGATGATGAGAGGCACGAGAGAAGTCAACATAGTCTCTATCTCCTCCATGGATTTCCTTACTTGGTTAATCCATTATTTTCTCCCTCATTTTCTATCTTGATCATATGCGCGTTAAATTGAGATACCCATGCCATTAATTCACCCATAAAAACTGAGGAAAAATTATTGCACATATAACCGGAAGAATAATACTAGTCTTACCACATTTTTTATACCACATTTTCATACCACATGATGTGGCAGCTGATGTGTACATATCACATCATGTAAAATACTAATTTATGTTTTTCTAATTTTATTTATTAAAATACACTTCATTCATTTAATTGATGTGGAATATAATATGGACATGCCACATCATGTGGTATAGAAATGTGGGATAAAAATATGGTAAGTGTAGCATTAAACGTTTGGCAATTTTTTTGGGGTGCTGATGATTTTTCTATTTCCCTTTTATCCACTTACAATCCTTTTTATTTTATAATACTTTTTACTATAACATATAAGGGAGTATATAGTGGACAAAAAAGAAGTGGGAATATACAATTTCCAACAAAGAGAGTGTAAGTGGTTAAAAGAGAAGTGAGAAATTTTTTTTTACTTATTTATTATAAAACCATAGACAAATTTGTTCAAAGGGGAAATAAAATTTTATGCCCTTAGTTTGACCTAGGTTTAGTTTTAACTGTTTATAATCAAATTCCATTGTTTACTAATAGTTTCAATTGGCCCAAACTATAATTTCCTCAATTGTTTAGAAAGTGGTGATGGTGGTGGTGGTGGTGGTGGTGGCAATGGTCATGGTAAGGCGGTGGTGGCAATGGCCATGATGTTAGTAGGGATGGTGGCATCAACGAGGATCGTGATGGTCATTTCCAAGTTAATGTGGTGGTAGTAGAAGTGGTGGTGACAACGACATAAAAATTGAAAATGAAAAGAAATATTTGCAAACCTTTTTCTTTCTTTTTTTCTAGAAAGGAAAAGATTTTTGTCATTAATCATGAAAGAGAAACATCAGCAGCCAAACGAGTGCCATCCCACCCAATCTTCAACTTTAGGACCATTGTTGTCCTTGTTGCAGTCATCCAACCCATCGCCAGTACCAAGCAACATATATTGTGGATTTAGCCACGAGGAAGATGTGCGGGTTGGGTCCAAAGCCCTCCATCTTTCTTGTTCTAGTTTTCATAGTTGATGATCTTATAAGTCTAAAGCTGAGACTCAGATTTGGTTTTTTGTACTAGTTTCATTAATCATTATGTCCATTAAGTTTTTTGTAATCATGAAGTTTATTTGGGTTGGTGAATCTGTATTATTGCTCTTTCTTCTTTGCACTCCAAAAGATATAGAGAAGATATGTCATGGCTCGAGACATCGTGAAAAAAAATTAAGGAAAAAAACTGGTGTTAGGGATTACATAGATGAGTATATATACATCCATGTTTTCAAATATGATGGTGTTCAAAAAACTAGAGTTTGTTTTTCCTAAATTTTTTCTGTAAAAGTTGTGCGATGATGGTGACAATACTACGAAAGGAGGTTAGGCCTTCTCCAATCCATTTGGTCTTAAACTCAAATTTTCTCCCTATAAAAAGTAACTATTTGAGTTTTTCCCGGACTCAAACCATTTTTTCCCCCAACCCTTCAAACTCAAATTTTAAGTCTGCAACTTTATTAAACTATTTAAGAGTGGTTTAATTCTATTTTTTTTTTAATGGATAAATTTTCTTCATTTAATCTTTTTAAATAACTTCATAATTTAATTTTTTAAACAATTTGACCTAAACAAGATTGAAATTCCACAAATATAATTTTATTCCAAAAGAAATGCACAAATACTTCAAATTCACCATACATGAATTAATATGGATTAGATTAATTGAAAATATTATTTTGATCGTTGGACCTTTTTTTTCTCTTTAAAATAGATTGAATTTAATATGGATCGTTGATTTGAGTTACTATTGGAATTATAAATAAAATAAAAGGATTATGTTTGAATTGTTGTCGTTGGAACCAGTGCTTGCCACATGGCAAGACAACAGTTACAGCACAGCAGCAGCAGCGGGGCCGACAAATTCTTCATTGCACATGGGTTGCATTAGCCTTGAGTGGGTTCCACTAAAAAGTTTTCCAGTCCAGACAATAGTTGGACTGGTATTTGGCCCCAAGTTTGGGTTTTCCCAAATTTTGGCATCTTACTTTTCTTGAGTTGGGAGAGGAATTAGGCTATAATTTGGGATTATTTGGGTTTGGCCTCATGGGTTGGAGATGGCCTTATGAAAGAGCTGTAGAGCGGCAATGGAGGGTGTTCTTAGGTCGTGGCTACGTTCAATGGATGAAAGATGTCCATTGAAGATATAAACATATAAAAGTTATATAAATTAATACAAATTAACCAAATAAAATAAAATGAAGGATGTGGCAATGACTTGGATTGCCATAGTTGGTATAAGAGTTGGTATATATCTCCTATAACAACTATCCGTATTTATTGAGTGGCAAATATGGTAGCTAACAATTTAGCTGATCTTGGCCATCCATATATGAACATTCATGTATTCTGTAATTTTACATATTATGTTCTTTTCATATTAAAATTTCACTTGTATACAAGCATTTATAGTATATGAAATTTCCAAAGAGAATTCTCTTTGTAATTGACATTCATTTATAAAATAAAATAAAGGAATAAAAAAAAGCATTTATAGTATTCTACAACAAAAAAAGATATCTTGTCAATGAAAAGAAAATATATAACCTACGAAAGAAAAAGGATGAATAGTAAAACTTGGACAACTTTCATATTCTAACGAATATTAGGTAGTGTGGATGTCTCTGGAACACTCTTGCCCTATAAATTTCTACACATCCCACACACTAAATGTGTCTCAACATACAAAAATACAAGCAAAGATGGAGCGATGGATCATCATCATATCGTTGATTTTTGCACTGATTACCATGTGTGAAGGTACTCTTTGTGGAATTATCAATGGTTTGGTTCCAAAGTCGGATGTTCTCGTTCATTGTAAATCCAAACAAGACGATCTTGGCGTTCACCTAATTCACTACAATGATACCTATGAGTTTGAATTCAAGCCCAACATTTGGGGAACTACACAATTCTACTGCAGCTTCACGTGGCCATCCCGAATTGAATGGTTCGACATTTACAAACACCAGAGGGATGAACTGTTGTATTGTTTGTGGATGGTCAAGCCTGGTGGTCCGTGTAGGTACAATCGTTATAGCAAGAGCTTTGCTGATTGCTATAAATGGAACAACAAAATTTGATATGTGTACGACTGATGGTTGTTACGGTCTTGTCAAGGATTCCTCTAAGTTGTGTTCTAGTTATGCATCCACAAATTAATGTTCTTTTTGGGGATGAGTTCTTGAATTAATGTTTTTCTATAAGATTCGAAAGGATCTAAAAGTGAGTGAAGTTTATATTCATTAATAAGAAATAAAAATGCAAGGGGCTGGCTAGTGCGTTATACCTCAGTTGGTTGAGTTTTTCCACCTCTACCAATGTGGACAAAGGTTCAAAACTCCTTTTTGTTGATTGTTTGTCCAAAAATGATGATTTCATAACAAAAAACATAACAAAATGCAAATGACAACGTAAACCTCAATGAATGTATGTGTAATCTAATCTCAAAAGAAACTTTATCATTTGTAGAATTTTTTTTATAAAAAATAATCAATCTTTGAACGAAAAATCAACGAAAAGGGATTTTGTGTGAAAAATTTAAAACCTTATAGGGTGTTTGTGTAATTTCAAAAACTTCATGGAGTTTTGTAATAACATCGAAAACCTCATAGGGTCTTACTATAAATAACTCTTTTTAAAAAAATAATATGCATTAAGAAAGAGATGGCAATTTTCCTTGCTAGTAAGGGTACCCTTACCCGTGAAGACCTATCTTCGTGGAGCTTCGACCTTAATTGGTTGGGTATGAAGGATAAAAAACAGGTATGGGGACGGGTTCGGGTAATTTTTCATGTATATGGTATTTAGGAAGGGGCGGGGTTGGTATTCTAATCCCCAACCCAAATCCGCCTCGATTAGATATGGTGATGCTACCTCTATAATGATGATCATGTCTTGGACATGTAGTTTCGACATGTATTAATATTTAATTTTTATTTAATAACAATTGAATTGATACATATCTTGTCCTCATAGTATTTTTTTTATCGTTTAACAAAGTTGTTTTTTATTGACTTTTTTTCATAATGGGGTGGGTCGGGGAACCCATTCCCCAATGAAGGTGGGGATAGGGAATCCCTAATTTGAATATTACGGGTATGAAGGCAAGGATGGGGGACAGAGATGGGAATGGAAATGACATACCCACCTCAGATTCAATCCATAATCATCCTTATAAGAAAACCACCATGAGGGGCCTTACGTGGCCATTAGCCCCCCAAATATACAGTATTATCTATTCAGTTTGCTCTAACACTGTAAAAATATATTTATTATATTTATATATAAAAAAAAGAAGTTTTTTCCTTCTAGTCCCACCCCCAATTGGGAACTTATTCAAGGCTTCCATACATAGTGGCAACCTATGTACACACTATATTTTTTATTGTTGATAAATAATATTTGGATATAAAGCATATCACTCACCAATGAAAAAAGACAATAATGAAATATGAAACATTTATCATTAAATTTAATCTAATCTAACATAGTTAACATAAATGTAAAATATAAATGAAATGCTAGATAAAATTATTTTGATTATATAAAATATTAAACATAACTCCATCAAATGATTTAAAATGTTCTTGGGAGGAGTTGTGGGGTACTCTTTTTCCTTGACCGGATTTATTTGCTTCGGTTGGTTTTTGTGGCAACAAGTTAACGAGGCCACTCTATGGCTCCTCTTACTGTTGATTATTTTTTGGTGTACTTTGTGTTTGCTAGTTGCTAATGAAGTTATTCTATTGTATAAAAGTTACTTAAAATATTCATAACCTTTTCAATTACAATTACCTACACGAGCAAAATAAGTATGAAATTTAATAGATTGAATTGTACTGGATTGATGAGATTCTCACAAGCAAATGCATCATTTAATCCAATTATTTCATTTTGGAAATTAGGGATCAATCCAGTCCGCCAAATCATTGAAATCAATTAAAATTAAATTGGATTGGATTGGATCAATCGGTTTGGAAAAATTGAATTGGATCTTGCACACCTGTAATGGAAATGATGTGGGACTAATTATTTAGTGTTCTTCTATTCTCCAAGATATTTGTGTATCTCCTCTCGCAATTATCCATTTTATCGAGCAGCAAACATGTTAGCTGCCAATCTGATCTTGACCATCAATATATAATCATTCATGTATTTTGTAATTTTTATTAGGCAATATTTCATGTGGCTTTTACCGTTTATTTCTCACTTTTATAGAGTATTTTATGTTTTGAGATTTATTATTGTGCTTAGATGACAAAACCCTCCTAAACCACATAATATTCTTAATACCAAACCCTAGCCCCCCTCTCCTAAAAACCCTCCTAGAGTCGTTTTCATTTTGAGGGGGAGGAAGCCACTGTTCTTCCTCCCCTCTCCCTTCTCCCCTCTTCTCTTCCTCCCTCACTTCTTCCCTCATTTTCATATACAAAAGGTTTTCCTTATTTGTCTTCGTTTTGTTATGATTTTTCTCCAACCATAACAGGCGGCTGTGTCTCGGTCTCAGATCTCCACCACCATCCTTTTTGTGGTTTCTTTATATTCGGAATAAGTCACAGAGACTCTTGGGTTCTTTGTGTAGTTTTCACCTCTCCTTTTGTGAGAGCTTTTCACCTTTCCTTTTGTGAGAGCTTTAAACCTTTCCTTCGTGAGAGCTTTTCATCTCTCATTTGTAAGAGCTTTTCATCTCTCTTTTGTGAGAGTTTTATTTGTATTGTTATGGCTTGGTTTTTTCAAGCTTCATCTCTTTTTGGGTCCAAAGCCCTCCATCTTTCTTGTTCGAGTTTTCATAGTTGATGATCTTATAAGTCCACAGCTGAGACTCAAATCTGGTTTTTCGTACTAGTTTCATGATGAAGTATTATGTCTATTGAATAATTTTTTTATCATGAAGTTTATTTGGGTTAGTGAATCTGTATTATTGCACTTTCTTCTTTGCACTCCAAAAGACACAAAGAAGATATGCCATGGCTTGAAACATTGTGAAAAAAAAAAAATTGAGGAAAAAACTAATGTTAGGGAATACATAGATGAATATATCCCTTGCATCGATTTTTTTTTATTTTTTTTCCATGTAAGGTTAAATCTAATGGTGTTCAAAAAACTGGAGTTTGTTTTTCCTAAATTTTTTCTGTAAAAGTTGTGTGATGATGGTGACAGTACTACGAAGGAGGTTATGGAGGAATTGTAAAGCTGCAATGGAAGGTGTTCTTAGGTCGTGGCTGCGTTCAATGGATGAAAGATGTCTATTGAAGATATAAACGTATAAATATTATATAAATAAATACAAATTAACCAAATAAAATAAGATAAAATAAAATGGAGGATGTGGCACATAACTTGGATTGCCACGTCATATGCCATGTCAGTTGTTAACACAAAGTTAAGAGTTAGTGTCCGTAGCATTAATATTTAGCGTTCTTCTATTGTCCAAGATATTTGGTATCTCCTCTCACAACTATCCATATTCATCGAGTGGCAAATATGGTAGCTAACAATTTAGCTGATATCATGGTCATCCATATATAAACATTCATGCATTCTGTAATTTACATCATATGTTCTTTTCATATTAAAATTTCACTTGTATACAAGCATTTATAGTATATGAAATTTCCAAAGAGAATTCTCTTTGTAATTGATATTCATTTATATATAAAAAAATATAAAAAAAAGGAAAAAAAAAGCATTTATAGTATTCTACAACAAAAATATATGTCTTGTCAATGAAAAGAAAATATATAACCTACCTAGGAAAGAAAAAGGATGAATACTATATCTTGGACAACTTTCATAGTATTTATTGTTGATGAGGTATGTGTGGATGTCTCCAAAACACTCTTGCCCTATAAATTTCTGTGCATCCCACACACTAAATGTGTCTCAACATACAAAAATACAAGCAAAGATTGAGCGATGGATCATCATCATATCGTTGCTTTTTGCACTGATTACCATGTGTGAGTGTGACGGTAAACAACAAGTTTGTGGAATTATCAATGGTTTGGTTCCAGAATCGGATGTTCTTGTTCATTGTAAATCCAAACAAGACGATCTTGGCGTTCACCTACTTCACTACAATGCTCTCTATGAGTTTAAATTCAAGCCCAACTTTTGGGGAACTACACAATTCTACTGCAACTTTACGTGGCCATCCCGAATTGAATGGTTCGACATTTACAAATTCAAGAGGGATGCAGGGAAGTTTTGTTACTGGATGATCAAGCCTGATGGTCCATGTAGGTACAATGGTCGCAGCAAGAGCTTTGATAATTGCTATAAATGGAACAAAAAAATTTGATGTGCGTATACGGCTGATGGTTGTTGCAATCTTGTCAAGGATTCCTTTAAGTTGTGTTCTAGTTATGCAGCCATGAATTAATGTTCTTTTTTGGGCTGAGTTCATGAATTAATGGTTTTTTTTAATAAGATTCGAAAGGATTCGAAAGGATCTAAAAGTGAGTGAAGTTTGTATTCATTAATAAGAAATAAAAATGCAAGGGGCTGGCTAGCTGTTGCGTTATACGTTTGTTGGTTGTGCTTTTCCACCTCCATCAATGTGGACAAAGGTTCAAAACCCTTTTTTGTTGATTGTTTGTCCAAAAATGATGATTTAATAAAAACAAAAAACAAAACAAGACTTATGCAAATGACAACATAAATCTCAATGAATGTATGTGCAATCTAATCTCTAAGGCGAACTTTGTCATTGTAGAATTTTTTATATATAAAATCATCTATCTTTGAATGAAAAATCAACGAAAAGAGGTTTTTTGAGAATAATTAAAAACTTTAGAGGATGTTTGTGTAATTTCCAAAACTTTAAGGAATTTTGTGATAACACCGAAAATCTCAAAAAGTGTTACTATAAATAACTATTTTTAAAAAAAAAGCAATATGCATTAAGAAACCCACCAGTAGGCCTCACTTGGCCTGCCCCCCAAATGTACAGTATTTGGGCTTCACGTGGCCTGCCCCCCAAATGTACAGTATTTCTATTCAGTTTGCTTTAACACTTTAAAAATATATTTATTATTTTTACAAAAAAAGATGAGTTTTTTTCTTCTAGTTCCACCCATAATTGGGAACTTATTCAACAGTGGCAACCTATTTACACACTATATTTTTCATTGTTGATAAATAATATTTGGATATAAAGCATATCACTCACCAATGAAAAAAATTACAATAATGAAATATGAAACATTTATCGTTAAGTTTAATCTAATTAAACATATTTAATGTAAATGTAAAATATAAATGAAATGCTAGACAAAATTATTTTGATTATATAAAGTATTAAACATAACTCCATCAAATGACTTAAAATGTTCTTTGGAGGAGTTGTGATACTCTTTTTCCTTGACTGAATTTATCTACTTTGGTTGTTTTTTTGTGGCAAGAATTTAATAAGGCCACTCTATGGCTCCTCCTACAGTTGATTATTTTTTGGCGTACTTTGTGTTTGCCTGTTGCTAATGAAGTTATTCCGTTGTATAAAAATTACTTAATACAAGAAACATACTAAATGTAAGAAAAACTGGGATCAGACAAACCTAGCAACCAAAAAACTAGAGACCAACTAAAATGATCAATTTAGCAACAAATTTAAATAGTACAAATAACACATATGAAGCATAAACTCATAAAATTATTTACACAATATTTAACATACATTTAAACAAAGGAAAACAAGGATGACAAGTAGATATGCAACATAAAAGGGAAACATGTACAACAACAAAAATTCACGGCATAAAATTCGAAAAAACAATTTTTCTTCAAGAGTAATGCTACACTTATCACATTTTTATCCCACATTTCTATACCACATGATGTGGCATGTCTACATAATATGTCACATCAATTAAATCAATGAGGTTTATTTTAATAAAGAAAGTTTAATTAACAGTTTTTTTTTCTTAAAGTGTTCATAAATCATAAAAGAAAAGAAAATATTAAATAATTTTAATTGATGTGGCTGTCCATCTCATTTGCCACATAAGGTGGTAAGAGAATGTGGTATACAAATGTGATCAGAGTAGCATTATTCTTTCTTCAAAATACAAAACAAACAATAACTATTATTTTAGTCAACTTATTAGTGAAATCTTAACAAAAAAAAGTATCCTTGAAATAATCTAGTGGCTGGATTTTAAGTATAATGCATGCAACAGAGATGCTTGAGAGAAAGCTTACGAAAGTGAAGCATAAAAAGATAGAGTTTGAACTAAACCAAGAAAAATATTACCTAAGAGTCTAAATACAAATTGTCAAACAAAGTAGGGCAAATATTCAAATATGCTCATATATACTCATATTATTATTCTTCTCTAATATGGATGTATTTATAAAGAAGTATAACCCTAAATAAAATAAGAAATAAATCCAAATTACAATAGAAAATAAATATAAATTACAATAGGAAATAAATATAACTTATAATAGGACTAGATAAATGGGTAAGAAATCAAAATCCTAATATAGTAAGGAAACAAAATCCTAACTAAGTAAGGACTCGCCAACACAAATTACAATGCAACTTTTGGAAACTATATATATGATATCTCCTCCATGGATTTCTGTAATTTTACATCTTATGTTATTTTTAGATTAAAATTTCACTTGTGTGGTAATAGAATATGTTGAGGATTCTCCTCTTGACCCAAAAACAAGAAAAAAAGAAAAAAAGCATTTGTAGTATTGTACCCAAATATATATATATATATATATATATATATCTTGTCAATGAAAAGATGTGTCTCAACATATTAGGCATGTGTGGATGTCTCTAGAACACTCCTGCCCTATAAATTTCTACGCATCCCACACACTAAATGTGTCTTAACATGCAAAAATACAAGCAAAGATGGAGTGATGGATCATCATCATATCATTGATTTTTGCACTCATTACCATGTGTGAGGGTATGACTTGTGGAATTATCAATGGTTTACTAAATCCAAAGTCGGATGTTCTCGTTCATTGTAAATCCAAAAATGACGATCTTGGCGTTCACCAACTCCCGTACAATGCTAGCTTTGAGTTTCATTTCTCGCCCAACTTTTGGGGAACTACACAATTCTACTGCAGCTTTGTGTGGCCATCCCGAATTGAATGGTTCGACGTTTACAAACACAAGAGGGATGCATATGATTAATGTTTGTGGATGGTCAAGCATGATGGTCCATGTAGGTTCGATCATGGCCAACAAAGCTTTGATGATTGTTTTGAATGGAACAACAGAATTTGATGTGCGTATACGGCTGATGGTTGTTACTAAGCCTGGGCATTCAAACCGGTAACCCGGTCAAACCGCCCAAACCAAACCAAACCAATGGTTTGGGTTGGTTTGGTTTTTTTTTCAATTTTTTTTTGGTCATCGGTTTGAACCCAAACCAAACCGAAATATATGGTTCGGTGTACGGTTTGCAATATTCAAAACTACGGTTTAACCAAACCAAACCGAAGAAATTAAAAAAATATTATATATAGTATTATTATAAGAAATATATATATATATATATAATACATAGTTTCAATTTTTTCTTTTTCTTCTCTCTCAATCTCTCCATTTGTCTTGTCTTCATCAGTCCCTCTCTTTTTCCTTTTTTTTTCTCATTCTTCTTACGTCTGTCTTCACTCTCTCTCCTCGTCTCCCTCTTCTTCTTTTTTCATTCTTCTCTCTCTTTTCTTTTTCTCCTCTTCTTCTTCTTCTTCTCCATCTCTCCCTCCCTTTTTTTTCTTCTTCTCCTCTCCATCACTTTTATTTCTTCTCTCTCTCTCTCTCTCTCTCAGAAAACCAAAAAATTGAAACCGAACCAAACCAAACCACCAAGTTCGGTTACCGAAGTGGTCAGTTTTCATCAATTATGGTTTGGTTTCGGTTTTCAAAATAGCCAAACCGATGCCTACAGTTTGGTGTTCGGGTTGAGCCCAAAACCGAACCAACCCAAACCGAGCCCACCCCTAGTTGTTATAGTCTTATCCAAGATTCCTCTACATTGTGTTCTAGTTATCCATTCATGAATAATGTTCTTTTATGATCTGAGTTCCATGAAGTAATGTTTTTTAATAGGATTCGAACGATTTAAAAGTTAGTGAAGTTTGTATTCATTAATAAGTAATAAAAATGCAAGGGGCTTGGAGTGCAGTATATCTCAACTGGTTGAGCTTTTCCCCCTCCATTCATGTGGGCAAAGGTTCGAACTCTTTTGTTGTTGTTTGTTTGTTCAAAAATGATTATTTCATAAAAGCAAAAAAAAAATTTCAAATAATAAAATAAATCTCAAAGAATGTATGTGTAATTTAAAACCTTAGAGGGTGTTCGTGTAATTTCTAAAACGCCATGGGGTTTTGTGATAACACCGAAAACCTCAAAGGGTGTTACCAAAAAAAATACAACTCTTCGTGGAAGAAAAGTAAACTGTATCCCTATTCTTTTTTCTCTATTTTCTTCTTCTACCCCTTATTTCAATTCAAAATATTAAATTCGCAAAATTGTCAAGCCCATATCCAGAAATAAGGAATATTCTTGAATCAAGGTGCGTGAATTGAACAAAAATAAACCAAAAAGGTTGAAAAATTGGTTAAAATACATTTCCCTTATAAAAATAAAAATAATTTTACAAGTGTACAATATATAAATAACAATTTATCACTCTTAACTAATCCAACTTGTCCGATTTAGTCCTTGTCTTGCCATCAATCTGAAAAACAAAATAGGTGATGGATTAGCAAAGCACCGCTGAATGAGTAGACTATGTAATATGTCAGTCCAGCAATGTCATTTTACACACTGAAAAATATAATAAAAAATCGTAATCCAAATCATATCACATCATTACTTCATATCTTGGTTATCATTCACAAATTGTACCCAGCACGTGACCTTTATTGGCCTCACTACCCAATGTCCCCGTTTCGTACATTTATCCTTCGGATGCTCCGTCACTGAAGTTCTCATGTTCCATGAATAGTACGTACTTCACAAAAACTCCACACACACACAAAATTGTATGAAATATTGCACAAATTAGACATGCTTGACTTGAAAATATAGAGAGATTTGTAAATAAAATAAATCCATGATTTTCACATTTATCACAAATAAGAACTTTTAGAACACATTACATAACCCACACACCATGATAATGATAATTATAAAATCTTGCCAAACAAACCCACATCTTCTTCTTCTAGGTATGGAAGTAACAAGCATATTAGAATCTTAAGGGAATAAATGACTCATTCCTTTCCACCAATGATATCATAAAAGAATATGTGACTCATTCATTTCTACCAATGATATCTTAACACAACTTGTACTACAAAAAAAATGAAATAGATGACAGGGATCCACCGTCGTTGTGATGCCTTAAAAATCGTCATTAAATCGACATCCATATTTTGAAATATCAAACTACAACATCTTTTTACTGTCATTGTTTATCTGTAAAGACAACGGTTTTTAGCAATGACCGTCGTTGTTCTTATGTAAAGACGACAGTCTTTTGTAACTGTCATTGTTTATGGGTAAAGACGACAATTTATTAAAAACTATCGTCATTTATGGGTAAAGACATCAGTATTTTGTTAAAAACTGTCGTTGATTTTATATAAAGATGACGGTATTGTTTTAAAAATGGAGACGGTATTGTGTTAACAACAGTCATTGATTATATGTATAGACAATGATTTTTCCAATAAAACCATCGTTTTATTATCTTTAAATATGACGTCTAATAAGTTCCCAATTTATCACATTTTAGTTTTTTGTTTCCTATGATTCTATACAATGATTTTAACTAGAAAGCCAATTATAATGCTTTATTAACGAATATATACACTCAAAAATTATTTCTTTCATAAAACTTGAAGATTCAATAGTTATTACATAGTCAACCAATCTTTATTTTATTACATACATACTTCCTACCTATAATTAGAAACAAAGGAGCTCACAAATTCTACTAATTTGATTTGAACTTCATCAATTTATTCTTGGGTTGACGTAGCTCTACCTTCTTGCACATTTTTCAAGTTGTTGTATTCCCCTCCCCTGTAATAACATCAGCAACGGTAGGTCCTTCTACAAGACTTTTGCCTTTACGTTCTCTTCTAGTGCCTGAAAATTTAGAATCTTCAGCCAACATGACAAAGAGAACATGGCAAAAAGATAGAGATGGAGAGATAGACCGTTGTGCTGCGACAAGCTATCAAATGTGATGTCGAACCCAGGCACCTCAATCCATGAACACTGTGCTGGGGGTGGTTTTGTTTTCAGAACATAATAAGCATAATTAAGTACATTCATCAGAGCAATTTAGTAGTTTTCTCTCATGACTGAGAAATATAAACAGAGGTTAAACCATCTATCTACCAGAAAAAAGCTAGTGAACACACAATTACAAGAAGCTTACCTGAAAATGGCATCATACTGCAGGCCGGTTTCTTGACAGCTAAGCATTTAAACTAGGAATTGTACCAGCTCAGCTTCAAAGTACACTTCTAAAAAAGCTGAGAGCAATTGTGTCATACTGATAAAAATTTCAAGGTTATGACAGAATTTACCCAGTGATAACGACAAGGATTCCAACATAAACTGCACAAACAGCAGTTGATGAGATTTGTTTAGCGCAACCCAACAAAAATGCATATCAACAAAATTTTCAAATGAAAAAGTAAAGGAACAAGCAGAGTTGCATACCTCTTGTGGAGCTTTCCTAGTACTAATAGCACCATTCTCATTCAATATAGGAACAAGCAGAGTTGCATACCTCTTGTATGGTCATGCTATTTATTATTTGGTTCTTTGACACAAAGAACTTAACTTAGAAATTAAGAACCAAAACTAAATTAACAAGAACAATGCTATAAAATTTAGAGAGGGAAAAGGGAACATGCAAAACAAAAACATCAAACCATATTTAAAAATAAAAATACACTGGTAATCAGCGGCACATCTAGAGAAAGCAAAACCAAGCAAGAAACTTGGGAAGACACATAAAACCCAATAGTATATGTTTTCAGGTCGCTGTCAACAGAACAATAAAGGGAATTACACCGTGTAGCATGGTAGTTGTCAATACCTGAGAAGATCCTCATAAAAATCATGGCGTTTGTTCAGTTCATCTACTGAAAGAGAAGCATATTTTAACTAAGAAAAATAAATAAGAGCAACTAAGATAATGCATGTGAAAAATATTAGATTGGAAATAATAAAGAAATACTAAAAACTTACAAAAACCAAACGCATAGACCTTCAAAAATATTAGTTTTGCATAATCCTTCCAACTCTGGGCAGCGACTAATTCGATGTCGTCTCTGCACATACCAACTCTGGCTGCTAAGCCGCCAATTTTATTTTTTTTTTCTAAAAATAGTATAGCCGCGCAGTTATACTCGGTGTTTTGTTTTTAAAAAAAGGGTGTAGCTGGGCGGCAATACTACGGTTTTTTTATTTAAAAATAGTATAGCCGGGCAGTGATACTATTTTTTACACCTGTGGGGGCCAGGCGGGTGGTCCTTTTTGTTATTATTATAGTCGGGTTTTTTTTAATAAAACAGGTATAGCCGCGCGGCTATACTATTTTTGACACGCGGCGAAATGGGCGTTGGGCGCTAGGTGCTAGGCGCTAGGCGCCAGGCCGGTTCTCCTTTTGTATTTTTGTGTCTGATTTTTTATAATAAAAATAGTATAGCCAACGGCTATACTGTTTTGACACATGGCATGGCGGCACAGGCGGGTTTTTTTTTAATTTATAAATAGTATACTATTAAAAAATAGTATAGCCGTGCGGCTATACACGGGATTTTTTTTATAAAAAAAATAAAAAAGGTATAGTTCTTTATTGGGGTCCTTTTTTATATAAATAGTATAGCCGATTAGCTGTACTCTTTACATAAGCTGATTTACTCATAAATTTCTCTCTTCAATATCTGCTTTAGAGATGTCAAAACTAGCAAATTAATATCTAGAAAATATAAACTAATGCAACTAGTAGGGTCATTTTTTTTCCAAATAAATAGTATAGCCTTGCGGCTATAGGAGTATATTTCTCCTTGATTAAAAATAAAAAAACTGTGGCAGTACATTTCTTACTTAAAATAACTTGTAAAATGGTATGGCATCCACCATATATCGGAAAATAAAAACATTTATTCCCATCCCCTAGGTTATTTTTAGTTATTTGCCTCTATTCATGGTACTCTAATACGTAATTTTAGACGTTTTCTTTCATAAGTGAACTCTCTCTTGCCCTATAAATAAATATATAGGCAGCACCCCTCAAACGCAACTCAAGGCCTCTCTCTCACATCCAAACACACAGAGATATGAAGCAAACGATAATATTGTTGGTTTTTGCACTCAGTACCACCACCATCTGTGAGGCTTATTCTTTTTTTGTTTCAACGGACGTTAAAATTATCAACGCTTTGGGCCCACAGATGGATCTGAACGTTCATTGTAGATCTAAGAATGATGATATAGGGTTGCACAATCTCCACCATGAAGACAACTTCCAGTTTCATTTCAGACCAAACTATTGGAGGAGCACCAAATTCTACTGCAGCTTCAAATGGTCTGACCAATTTCATTGGTTTGACATTTTCATACACAACAGGGACGATTGCAAGCATTGTACATGGATGATCAAATCTGGAGGGCCATGCAGGTACAATGATGAAACTGAAAGTTTCGACAAATGCTACCTTTGGAACGACAAGGGAGACTCAAATTGAGAGGGCATATGACATCAAAGTTTTATCAAGGGTTGCTTCAAGTTTTGTTCTAGTCTTCTTGTTCTTAGCATCTCACCAACCTGATTTTTGCACTACCGGTTCACCCGGGTTGTGAATACAGTTATCGGTCAACGGTTGACTGACTGGTAGAGCAAAAAATCACGTATGTGCATTCACACCTGAAGCAAACTCTAGTTCAGATGAGTATGTATAGGAGGGAAGGCAAGGACTAGACATGCAGAAGGTCCTAGAGCAATGGTTTCAGTTATCATCATGATGAAGATTGGAACTAACACTATATTTAATGTTTTGTTTGCCAAGACAAGAAGCTTTAAAACTATTTAAGTCAGGTAGAGCATCAACCTAATCCCTTCCAAAATTGTTATCTTGCTCTTGTAAATCGTCAGCCTAATATTCAGTCATGCAAAATAGATACACGAGGATAAGCAATTTAATAAATAAATAGAGAACTTGCATAAGTATCTTCACAAATTAGAGCATGTTACCTATAATACATCCACGACAAAATAAGAAAAGCGTACCCTTATAGTAAAACAAGGTGGCTAGTTGAGAGGAAAACGGATCGATTCTACAAATTTCTTGTGTTGGTCCAAATGGAAAACAAAACAAAATAACTGCAGAAAACTTTCAAGAATTCAAAAGTTACATTACACTCATGGACATTATCTGACGAGCAAGACCTGGATCTTGGTTCAACAGCTCCCTCAAGTTGTTCTCCACCTCTGCAACCTGTTTCTCAATATATTCCTTTGAGATCTGTCCAAAGCACAAAAGAAATAATTTTACTTCTGCCGAAGTCCAGAAGAGAAAATGTTTCATCTTAAAAGTACCACGTAAACATGATCTTCATATTATTTTTCTTCAGAAACAGAAGGATTTAATTTATTTTATCCATAAAGATTAAAAGTACAAACATAGGACAAGCTACACTAGAACACATGCAATGTCTCAACCAACCAGCAGCTAACAACAAAAACGTCTAAAACAAACTCAAAAACATTTCATAACAGCTCAGCTAACAAATAAAAGTTTTGAGACTGCCGCCTTCCACTCTGCATGAATATGAAAAAATAGAAAATCCCAGCGAATTGAAGCCTACAATGATGACCAAAAGCACATTATACCACAAACACTCCACTTCCCCACCCCTATAACTTTCCGAAAAAATGTGTTCGTTCAATTTATAGCCATTGCACAACAATTCCACAAAGTTCTTGCTCTTTTACCCTCTCCGAAAGCAAAAAAAAAAGAATTTCCACGAACAAAGAAACGCAGAAATTTGGGAATCACCCACAACACAAGTCATGAACCTCATCTTGACTTAAGCCTCAAATCTATGCCTGATTAACTAACGAAAATTATAGGTTTGACTGGCACTTTTGAGGTGAAGACAAGTTAGGGGTGAAAGGATTAGCACAGTTCAGCTCACTCGTAAAAAGAAGTATTTTTTGGCATTTCCTACAATTTTGAAATTAAAAATTAAAAATTTAAGACAATGGAATACTACTTTATTAGAAGCTTTATCTCTCAAAATTAGTTCAATAATTTGAACCTCTCTATATACATAGGATAAAATTATCTTCTTAAGCCTTACAACCCAAGTAGTTGTTTTGGTTAAATCTGACAAACAAAGCTGTAGAGTTGTATCAGTTAAAAAATCTCCACCTTTCTAAAACGACAAAGATTAGCACTAGATGTCCACGTCTTAGGGATTGAAAAAATTTCTTAAAAGTGCAAGGCAATGTTTTTCCATCTATAAATTTGGAAAATTGTATTTAGACACATTCTTAGGACATAATTAGAACAATGTTCCCACTCTTTCCTAGTTAATGCATCAGTCTTCTGTTCACTGTCATGACTAACAATATTATATAAAGCTTCATAGCAAATCCTTTTAAGGTTTTTACTTTCACATGTCTCAACTTGACAGATTCAACTGAAACAAAGTCTAACAATGTAAAAGAAAGTTACCAAAAACTAAAAATTCAAGATTATGGGATATTAAAAGGTTTTTTTATTTTTTGGTAACTTGATATTAAAAGGATTATAAGTTGTCAGTGGAGTCTGGAGAATGCAAAAAGAACTCGTCAAGGTAATATAAGTTCGGATATTGGGGCTACGGATGAGGTAGAGCTGGTTTCTTCAAGTCCATGTACATATGGCGGCATATTTTGAATTTTATAAATGAAACAAATTTTATCAAGTATTAGACATCTAAACTTTCTAGAGGTATCTCTAAGAAGGTTAATTGAATATATTTACTTTGTTCCACAAAGAAACAGAACAAATGGTGTAAACACACTACAAAGAACAAAAAGAGACCATCATAATTCACAAGAAAGTGGAGATAGACCTGCAGTGAGGTAATTGCACTCTCACTGTCCTTGAGCTTCTGTTCCTGTTCATTCACCAACACTGACTTGGGCTCTAAAACAAACCTGGCCACCATGAGCAACGAGTTTATCAGAGTACGTCATATATGTATCAGGCAACTCATAAATCAACAAGACCTGAATTCCATCTAATTTTCATGCTTAAAAGAGGCAATCCAGAACTCACGTTCTCCCTGCAAAACAGATTAAAACCCAAAAAAAAAAATTATCAAAATTAAATCCCAACATCCCAAAAGAAAAAGGGTCCTTTTCTCAAATTAAATTTGACAATTGAGGCAATGGGTTGATTGAAATGAAGTACCTATAGATTTGTAAGTATTTGCATCGTCAGATAAAGGCCGCAGCTCCTCCAGGGTTAGAAAAGCACGCTTCTTTTCTCCTTCTTTGTTCCTCATCTGCGTCTGCACCTGAAACCCATCTCAATTCTCACTGGATAAGTTCACTTTTTCATCATGTATATTTATATTGACATTAATCATATACATAAATAAATAAATAAGGTAAAGACCTGCTTCAGTTTCGCAGTGAGCTCAATCATGCGACCTTGAATCTCAAAGAACGCCTATAAAAATTTGATTATCCTGGTAAATAGCAGCAACCGAGAGAATATGGAAAATCAAGAGACAAAGAGAAAGAAGGACTTACAGCTCTGTTGGCTTCGTCGGCCATTTTCACAAGATTGATTCTTTCGACCTATTGCTCTCAGAGCTTGAGGGATGCTGAAATCTGAACTCGTCAGTGACTTGGTATGGGTTTTTGGGTATTGGGTCGGGTTTGGCCCTCAAAAGCCCAAATTATTAATTAAGCCCAGTAATTCTTAGATAGTGGGTCGGGTTTGTTATTCATTCAACATGCAACCGAACACGCATTCTGTTCTTGCATTTATTAACCCAATAATGAAGAACCATCTCAATATTATAAAATAATGACACGTGTAATAATGTTATTGGTGGTAAAAATGAGAATGTCCTAATTACTAATCCCCTTTTAATCATGTTAGTGATTACTGGAATGATGTAATTGTCCTTAATCACATATGATTGATTGATCAATGAAATAATTATACATACGTTCTTTTAATCATGTTAGTGATTAGAGGAGTTTAGAACTATAATCAAGTAATTCTCCTCAATCACATATGATTGATTGGTTAATGACCAACTATGCAAACATATTATAGACCAAACAAAATTTCTTTTTACACCGTGAAACCCATTCTCTCTACCGCCGTGCTACCACTCTCATTCTCTCTCTTCTCTTCTCTTCCTATCTAAGAGCACTTCCACCCAGCCCTTTTTGTCATGGCAAAAGGGGACCTAGGCTCCAAAAACAACACATACCAAGGAAAAATTGTCATAACAAGAAGTGGGTCCCATGAAACTGGGTAAGCCCAAAGGCAAGACTTGCTTAGGCTGCTGCTAACATCATGCTGGCCTAGCCATGCTCTTCACTTCCCACACCAAAATTCATACAAATTCATCTTCTCATATCTCATATGAATAGTGGTTGCACTTGGGTTGTTATGGTAATGGGTGAGAATGCATTTTTTTAAAAAAAAAATTGCTAAGGTAGACACTATTCACGTAATTGCCCTTGTCTCCATTTGCCTTTTACCATGGTAGATGAGTGGAAATGCTCTAAGGGGGAAAATGAGACAATATCACATTACTTACTATACAAATTAAGTAAGCTTAGAAACTATGATTGTGGGGTGTCACATTACTTAGTATACAAATTTAGTAGATTTAGCAATTATCATTGTGGGGTCTAGATGTCCAATAAACAATGACAAGTTGTCTCCAATTAGATGTAGCAAACAAGGTAAAAAGGAATATGCTAAACAAACACTAGAGTCCAAAAACAAGGAAAGTGACATGTAGCTGATTTTTTTTTTTTTTTTTTTTTTTTTTTTTGTGTTTTTTTTTTTTTTGTTTTTGGTTTTTTTTTTTTGGTCATAGTGGTTTAGACTTTGAGGACTATGAAGTCTTTAAAAAAGAAACATTATTGCGTTCAGTGTGTGTTGTTTAAAATTAGTGTCTTTCTCAAGACCAAAAGTAAATAAAATTTGTGCCTCTTTTCCACACCAAAAGTAAAATATAGTTTTTTTTCTACACCAAAAGGAAAAAAAAAATAGTGTATTTTCAACGAGCCTAGTTCCTTGTTTGGTCTGACAAAGACTTGGCAAAAATAATAGAATGATAGAGTATGCAAGTTGACACAAAAACGTATCAAAAGACCAAAAATACTCATAATTCCCTCTTTGAATTTTGATTGACAATTTAACACAACCAATAAAACCCCTCAAAAAACCAAAAATCCCAACTTTGAAGATTTTTTTTAGCGGAAACAGAGCAAGGCACACAGAGATTTCTGAGAAAGGAAAGCAAAGACCAAAGAAGCCATTGGATTTGAAGATTTAGCCAAGAAAGGTTTTGGGTTACGTCTGGTTTGGCGCTTTCTTCGCCCCAATGCCCTCAACCTTAACCAAATAACTGGACGAAATCTCTCTCTCTTCGAAAAATAACTTACCTTCTCTCCATTTTACTACTTTCTCTCTCTTCCCTTTATTTATCTTCTCTTTTATTCTAACTTTGAGTGGCTTTCTGGTAGCCCAAAACGAAACAAAAACAGATACACAAATTTTTTCCTCCATTTCCCGGCGACCCACATCGGAAGTTCACATCTTTGCTCCGACCCAGATCGAATCCGGACCCGAATACCAAGCCACCAACCCCGCATTGACAATTGCGATGAACCCACAATAGAAATGCATGTGGGTCATTAAGCGTGTCAGTTGTCAATGATAAAAGTTGGAGGAAGTGGTTGAAATGTAAAGCCGGATTCGGGTGCGGATACGGGTTTGTTTTCAGATTCATGGGGATTTGTTTCAGTTCTGAAAAGCAGCAGCATTCCAATTGTAATCAGACGAGCCCACCAGGTATTATATCATGTATGAATATATTTTGCTTCACATTTAATTATGCATTAATTTCCTATCAAATAAATGATTAAAATGGGTAATCATTAATCTGTATCTAATGTTTCTTATTAGCTTTGAATGCATTTGGAGTTTTGGGACCTTTTATTTCGAATAATAAAATTTGTGATCTTATGTTGGCTTCCTTCTAAATGTATGATCACAATGGAAATTATGCACAGTTATGGGGGAAGGGAAAAAAATTGGGTGTTCTTGCATCATATCTTGTGAAAAATCAAAGTTTTCAGTTTTTACCTTTTGTCATTTGTCACATTTTCTAACCAGGTGACTGGATTTGAAGCATTTATTGGAGTTTGTATATGTGAGTAAATGTGTGCCACATAGTTTTTTTTTTTTTTTTTTTTTTTTTTTGTTTGTGGGGGGGGGATGGTTTTGATTTTGGAGTACATTTTATTTTTTTTCTTACTGGTGTGCTTCCGAAGGCATTAAGTTTTGATTCATGAAATTAGGAGGTTGTTGAATTTCTTTTGTACTTCTTAAATATAGTTCTGATATTTGTGAATGTTTATGACAGTTATTTTATAGCATTCTATGCATTTATTGCGGCCAATATGTTTCTGTTCTTCAGTTTCCATATTTTCAACTTTTTAAATGGTGTGTTGTGGTTGCGGAATACCCGGTTATTATAATGAATTTTCATGAGAGTATGGTTGAGAAGCAACCATCAAGAAACATATTCTTTCTATGGTAGGCTAGTGGCTAATTTTAAAAATTAGTGATGGGAGCATTTTTGGAAGTAATGGTTAACTGATAACATAACTTTTCTCTTTTTCTTTTGAAAAAATTTATGCAGTAGGACATGGCTCTGCTGCATGTCCACCTCCCGATAAAAGTGCAATCAACACTCCTTTGGCTTCCAAGAATGTCAAGGACCTACGGCAAAGTCCCGGATATATCAATGTCAGCATCTTTACTTATGATGAGATGAGTTTGGCCACAAAACGTTTCCGGCCAGAGCTAATTCTTGGTGAGGGTGGGTTTGGAGTTGTATATAAAGGAGTTGTTGATGACACCGTGAGGACAGGTTACAAGACCACACAAGTTGCCATCAAGGAGCTTAATCGAGAAGGGTACCAAGGTGATAGGGAATGGCTGGTATTTGACTTATCTTTCCCTTTTATCTTACTTATTTTCTTAGAAATGAGGCTTTACTATATTCAATTTGTATACTTTACTCCATTCTGATAAAGAAGATAAATTGTTGTAATCAGAACATAGTAGAGGGAGGTTCTAGTGCCGATTCTGCCCAATGTTGATGATGAATACATTCTGATACTGCTGACAGAATGGTCTGTTAGATTGAAAGCTTTGGTAAATCCATTCCATATTTTATGTTGTCTCTTGCTGTGCAAGACAGTTTTTTATACTGTTCTTGACTTATGAAGAAGCTCCATCAGAAATAGCTTAACTATCTCTCAACTGTTGATGCCTTTGGAAAGTAATGAGGGCTATCTTGTTACTTACCGTAGCATTCATACAAGTTGCATTGCAAATAGACATTTCCCCAAGCTGTCCCTTTTTTTCTTTCCTTCTCTCCTTTTATGGTCATGGTAGAATACATACACTAGTGTTCTAGTAGCTTTTAGAATTAGTTATTCATTAACATTCCTTTTGGAGACATCAAAAGTGGAATGCATGTATTCAGTGCAACATGTTTTTCAGTGGTGATTAGGGGAAAAATTAAATGATAGATTTCTTAATCGAATTTAGTCCAGCATCGTTTAGAATCCATTATTCATTAAAATTACTTTTGGAGACATCAAAAGTCAACGGCATATGTGTGTGGTGCAACATTTTTATGATGAATAGTGTATTGGTAATTAGGAGCCAAAATCAAAGGACAGATTTGAAGTGCGAAGTTGATTTTTAATTTCCTATATCAAGGATCTTCTGGAAGAGAAACAAAAATGGAAAATCATGGCCTATGGGATTTAGAAACGAATACTGTAACGTCTGTTTTAGCAATGATAAATTGATAACTGACATGGACAGTAAGACATTGATCTAACATGTATGGTAGATGGTGTTTCTTGCTTAAACAGGTAGTTGTCTCTCAACAATTCCTAGTTCACCAAACTGTAAAACCATGTCCAATCGGTGGCATTTGGCATAATTTATCATCAGATTACTTTGTTTTCCTTTTTAATTTGCTAATAAACTAAGCCTTCTTCCGGGGTGTTTGCATGTATAGTGGAGATTAATTTGTATCCTTTTGTCATGCATTATTTTTCTTGCAGGCAGAAGTTAACTATCTAGGTCAGCTTAGTCACCCTAATCTTGTGAAGCTGATTGGCTACTGCTGTGAGGATGAGCACCGGCTACTGGTCTACGAATACATGGCAAGTGGCAGCCTGGAAAAACATCTATTTCGCAGTAAGTGTTTTATGCCATCAGAAATATATGGGATGTTAAGAAAATGATGTTTTAGGTGAAGCCAATTTATAGGACTTTTAGATTAATGCCATTTATTGCAATAATGGATGATAGAGTCAAAGTATTACGAATTCTATTTTTATTGTTTATCATCCCCTTACACTTTTAATCTCAAGAATGTTAAAAGCCATTCATCTAGCTTGACTTTGATTGTTATATACAGTCCAGAGCGAAATTTTCTTTTTCTTTTTCTTTTTCTCCCAAGATTTTCCTAGCTATGTATAGGGTTTGAAGGCTTTTCAAGTTCTTATGAAAACTGTCTTTCTAATAATAAACAAGAAGGTGGTCAAGTGAAGGTGAAATAAAGTACTCAACTATGCATGTGATTGTACTTATTTTTGGATGCATGTGATTTTACTTATTTTTGGACAAATGTACAAGTAAACTGCATTTATCAGTGTAAAAAATGTGTTACAGTTTAGAATACTTAGAAACTTAACACTTGTGTGTGGAAATTTGACTTTTATTAGATACGAACAAGCATTTCTTCTAGTTGTTCATCTCAATCATCTGAAATGTTATGGACCATTGTTTATATAAAATATATGCCTGCAGGAAGTGTAAATGTAGACTGTATGCAGATATTAAACTTCCCCAAACTGCATATTGATCCATCAACAGTCTATTGCAACAACATTCAATTGAGTGTTCTGGTGGATACTTTTGACACATCAAAAACATTGTGCCTCTTTTGGTTAACACCGTAATCATTTCTTTTATTTTGGGTGGTAGGAGTGGGCTGTACGCTTACATGGTCAAGAAGAATGAAGATTGCTTTAGATGCTGCAAAAGGGCTTGCTTTTCTTCATGGTGCAGAGCGACCAATAATTTACCGTGACTTTAAGACATCAAATATTTTGTTGGATGGGGTTAGTTGTCTTCTTTTTGTTATCTTTTATATAGCACTTATTACCATTGAGCATCTTATTGGAGGTGCTGTCAGAAAAAAAAATTCAAATATTTCAGAAGTCTAATTTCACAAATGAAACCCGAACCAGAAGATGAAGTATACACAAATGCTTCTTGTCAGGATTCTTTGTCCATTCTGGAAAACAAATATTGGTATTTTTTATAATGAAATTTGTATGTTCTGGCATATGAGTGATTACTTCTGGGGAAGTTAGGTTGGTTTATGTTGCTGAAAATCTAACGATAACATGCAGGACTTTAATGCAAAGCTTTCGGACTTCGGCCTTGCAAAGGAAGGGCCTATGGGAGACCAAACCCATGTTTCAACAAGAGTGATGGGCACATATGGATATGCTGCACCTGAGTATGTAATGACTGGTGAGTTGTTTCATAACTTCGTCGCCGAGTCATATCATAAAACGTTATGTTTTTCTTTTTCCTTGATACAGATTGACAAATGCTTTCTGTTGCCAAGCGAAGAGATTATTTTGATGTTTATTAATCATATATCAACTTGGTTTTTCAATAGCAGTGCACCTGAAGTAATTTTTTATAATTCCTTTCGCATTATTGGCAATGTTTACATCATAGCTTGGTAGGTTAGACCTTAGTAATCCATCACTGAGTATTAAGTTGATCCAAACAGGGCATCTAACTGCTCGAAGTGATGTTTATGGATTTGGAGTGGTGCTACTTGAGCTGCTCATTGGACGAAGAGCAATGGATAAGAGCAGGCCCAGCCGGGAACACAACCTGGTTGAGTGGGCTCGTCCACTCTTGAACCACAATAAGAAGCTTCTGAGGATTGTAGATCCTAGGTTGGAAGGGCAGTACTCATTTAAAACTGCAATGAAGGTGGCCCAGTTGGCATATCAATGCCTTAGCCAAAACCCAAAGGGGAGGCCCCTTATGAGCCAGGTGGTTGACATCCTCGAGACTCTTCAGTCATCAGGAAACCACGAACTTCAAAGCGGAGATGGTGCTGTAACTCTTTATGAGGCTCCCAAGGGAACAATTGCAAGTCCTGCTAAGAAGAGAAACCAGAACAGAAGAGACGGTGAAAGGGGAGGAGAGGCGCATAGGAGCAATCCGGGAAATGGAAGGAGCAAGAGTGAGCCTATGAATGACTTCGATCGTAATAACTTGTCTCCAAATTTTGTGTCGCATGAAAAGTAGCTTTTAAACTTGTACCAGAGAATGGATGGAGGTTGAAAATGTACAAGATAATATCAACTGGTCTATCCATTTAGTGTTTTTGAGTTAAATTCATATTCCCGCTGGGTCAAATTTGTGATTTATAATTTGTAATTCATTTTCTAACACTCTATTGTATGCGCTACCTTGTACGTTGTGATTTTAGTGTAGCATCTGAAGAAAGGCCTTCAGCATTCTCCTCTCATTCTTAAATATTTTTTTATAGTTTGTTTTGTCATTAAAATTCAGGACAGAACGGTAGTTCCTTACCCTACAGTGTGTGGTAAAATATTCCATCGCTTTTTATTCTGGTCAACAAAAATTCTAGCACCTTCTTTTTTATACAAATGATATCCTACTTTAATCAAATCTAAATTATGGAGAGGAATTCAAACTTGGGTGCAGAGTGGGGAGTACATCTATTCTAGTCAACTTGGCTGGCTATGTTCATGTATGCAAACATTCTGCAACTTGAGTTATTGCTTTTTCACCTCTTAAACCTTATCTTATATATAAGATAATAATAAGAGATATTTAGTCATATACCCATTCTTAGCACTAAAAGTATAAATAAACCCTACACCATTTAATTTCTATAAACATACCCAAAAAATGACAGCTGGCCTTTTTGAATTTAATTTTAATTATTAAATTACTTTGATGCCCCATTGAGTGTTTTAGGGCTTTTTTATGAGGTTTTTGGATTGAATTTGTTTTAAGAAATCAATGGCAGTTTTGTAATTTAAAATAAGTTAAAAGCTTTTTTGTTATGTTGTAAATGGGCTTTGGGTGTTTCTAAAGTCCATTTTATATCAGGTTTTTTTTATAATTTGAGCTCCTATATTGGGTATTATAGTGAATCTCCCTAATAATAATGACTACGAGTTATCACCCAAGGCAATAAAAAAGTCCATAAGAGCATTTCCAACCGATATGTCAAAAATGTCACATAGACATTTAACAACTAGAAATAACATATCACATCACTCCAACCGAATCGTCAAAGTTGATGTGGAATGAAGGTTGGAGATTCAGCTGTTATTTTTGACATCCCAAAAGCAAGATGTTAAATGAATATTTTATTATTTTTAAAGACAGAATTATGCTTAAAAAAATAGAAATGAGCAATCATTTCCATAAATTAAAGGACAAACTATATAAAACCCCCCAAACTATATGGTCATTTTTAAGTTCATACCCAAATTTAGAGACATTTACGAGTGCATGCTTAAACTCTCGGAAACCCTACATTTACACCCTACATTAGCCAAATCGTTAGTTAATCTATTAAATGCAGATGTGGCATTTGTGGGACCTATTTTTTAATTCATGTAGGGTTCCACGTGGACAAAAAAACTAATAAAAAATTTATTTTTTAAAATTATTTTAAAAGATTAAACATATTAAATTTTTTTATAAAAAAAAACCTTACCCAGATTCTCTCTCCCGATTTCTTCCCCCCACCCAATTTCTTCTCCACCACCACCCAGATTTCGTCGGCTTGGTTCAATGAAGCAATTGAAGGATGCATAGGGGTCTTCCATGTTGCTCACCCCGTGCATACCAAAGAACTTGATCAAGAAGCAGTGACCAAAAAAGCTGTCCAAGGAGCCCTAGGCATATTGAAAGCCTGCCTAAATTCCAAGACTGTGAAGAGGGTTGTGTACACTTCTAGCGCATCAACTGTGGCTTACAGTGGCAGCAGCCAAGACTTGGTGGATAAGAGCTCATGGAGTGATATTGAATTTCATAGGTCTCTTAAAATATTTGGAACTTCATATGTTGCTGCCAAGACCAAAACAGAGCAAGCTATCCTGGAATTTGTAGAAATTGGGTGGGGGAAGAAATCCGGGGTTGAAATCTTTTGGGGGGGGGTGGGGAGGGTGTTGTTGGGAAGAAGTTGGGAGGAAGGGAGAATCTGGGTCGGGTTTTTATTTTAATTTTAAATTTTAAATTTAATATGTTTAATTTTTTTAAATAATTTAAAAAATAAATTTTTTAGTTTTTTGTCCATGTGGAACCCCACATTAATAAAAAATAGATCCCACAAATACCAAATCAACATTTAACAGATTAATTAATGATTTGGCTAATAAATAGCGTAAATGTAAGGTTTCCAGAAATTTGAGCATGTACTCATAAATGTCTCTAAAATTGGAAATGAACTTAATAATAACCCTATAATTTGGGGGGTTTTATATAATTTATCCTTCGGCAAGCAGTTGGGTAACTTATTAAATAAATAATGTCCAATTTCTTCACAAAGTTTTAATATTTGAAGTTTGTTCTTACTCTTTGATATTTTTAAATTGAATGGCTCTCTTTCTTTATGATATATTAAAGACCTTTCCAAAAAAAAATTATATATTAAAAGAAATAATATTAACTTCTAGTACATAAGTTTTCCAGGCAAAAAATTGAAATAAAAATTTAGTAGTGTTTTGGGAATATAATTGCACTAGGATGCATAATAGTTTAAACTTTAAAATTCTATTGTATCAAATCTATGCTCTCAGATGAATTTGTAGGAGCAACTTCCCTTTTTGCTATTAAACAAAACCAGACCAAAAAATTAAAAAATTTGATAATAAAAAAAGAAAAACCCCTTCTACATAGTATGCTGAAAATGGGAACTCCCATACTGATGAAAACGGAAAAACTCTTGGTTTTCAATATAAGATGGAGAGATGGATGTGCGCATTACATTACATACAACAGGAAAATGAATTTCTGACTGAAATTGTACTACCAGTACTAAAGTATCTTACCAATGAGTGGAATCTGCAAGCACCATAACATCATAACCTTGGTTTATTATCTGACTGTCAGGAGCATTATCCTACAGAAGCAGAAGATTGTCGTCAGTGACACGCCTTTGACCGGAAAATTTAGAAACTGTACTAAAAATATTAGTGTTGGACAAGGAGCAAGTATACGATAACAGAGATATGTTAAGTAGCCTTACCCCATAAATGATGCAACTTCACAGCTAATTGAGTAACGGATCTTCTCTCTGAAGGATTCGAAAATTCCATGTTCACAGCTTCCTGGATAGAAGACAAGAATTCTTGCTTTGCTTTTGCAGACAGACCAAGGTAATTTGGTCCATGAGTGGTGCTCAAGTCAGCAATCTAAACGAGTGAAAATGACAGCATGTGTTAACATTTTTCTCTGGAACACATTTTGGTTTCTATGTAACAAAATTTCGAAATGGATAACAGAGGTGGAAGAAAAGCCCCAATGGTTGCTTCTTAGTAAGTGTGAATCATTTTAACAAATTCAAGTTTCAGTTGCATAACATGACAGTGCACAATATGAACTAAAGTGAAGATCTAGAAGTTCTGCAACAAGTTACAACGAGGCTGCTCTATAGTTATGGACCTAGTTCTTAAAAATATAATTCTATGCTACTATAATGTATGGAAAGAATGTAGACATGTTGGCACTCAATTTGTTCATAATAAAAGTTACGATGTATTAATCATGTATAAAAGCACTTGCCTGCTGCAACCAAGGAATTATGGTATTGATAAACCTTTGTTCTAGGAGATAAGATGCTAAAATGCTCAGAACACCGCTGGCAGTTTTAGGAGACAAACATTCTAGAACTGGACCAGTTCCATCAAGAAGCTCAACCAGAACAATTTCATCGCCAGAACAAAGAGCTTCCACATATGCAGAGTCTAGGTCCCCTTCACATAGAAAACCTTTCACTTGTTTCCAGAGGCTATTCTTACTTTCTACCACATTTTGTCTCACTTTAGTACTAGAAGCTGAAGAAAACATAGCATCAGTCCTTGTTTGACTATTACCCATCCTTTGTGTTCCCTGCCCAGGAATTTTTCGAATGTCTTTCCCAGTAGGATTCCTGGTAAGCTTCACCTTAGTATTGCTCCATGTCTCTGTACTTTGTTTTGCGGAACTATTCGCTTGGCTCCTGCCAAATGTGTTTTCCTCCCAAATATCAGAATGTTTCATTGACAACAACGAAGGCTGTCTGTTGCGCACATCTAAAGATGGCCTAGGAGTGCTTGTGGAGAGTCTTGGAGAATGCACAGGTTGGCTTTGTTTCATGAGTTTGGAGGTTGCTAAATTGGAATGCTCCCCCCTGTGAACAAAGGTCTGAGCTAATCCATCTACAACATGTTCTAGACCTACCACCCTTGTTTGTAACATAGACAAGCTATCCATTATGCCAGACGTAAAGACCTGTGAAAGAGTTCAATAAAAGAGCTAAATTACAGGGTTCACGGTAATTAACAATGTATGGGGAAAAAAGATATTCTGATTTCTAGGCAATATACGACAGAATGAACATATATTTCAAATACAATTAGACTGCTCAAAATGTCAGGTAGGACCTCTAGGCACAGTGTTTACAACAATAGGGTTTAGTAATTAGACCTTAGCCAAGACGGCCAACTACAAGTTTACCCCAAGAATTGGAGAAGGAAAAAAATGGAACTAAGATGACACAAGATGCAATGCTAACAATTACTTTCAGACGTTCAGGATTAAAAAAAAATCTGATTTGAAAGGATACAGTGACTCCAGAACTTAAAACTTTGTACCTGGAAATTGAATGGCATGCCTACTCTTTCATGATGATTTAGCAACAAATGCAGTGTTATCAATTGATTGTCGTTCATATAAAGTTCAAAAAATCTTACAGATGGCACTCAAGGTTTTTGCATAGAACAGCATATCAAAACGTTTAATTAATTATCTAAGAGTTAAACAAATGGTGAAGCAACTAACACATATCTTGTCCGAAAATATCAATATATGTACCTGTAAAAGATCCACTAAGTTGGACTGTTTGGTTTCAATCTCCACTAGTTGTTTTCTAATGCAAACCATTTCATTTGCCATTTGTGAACAGCATCCATGTGGAGAATGGGAACCAGATTCTGTCACGGTTGAATCAAGACTTCTACGGTCATGTATCCTTTCAGAGTACATCTGTTTCTCACTACTAATATCTTCAGCTGCAAATCGCTGATTTCTTCCTACTGGCTTCTGCAAACCACCTTTATCACTGCTATGAGAACCTGTAACAAACTTCGCCTCAAGGTCATCTGTGACAAGATTGGACCCAGATGAACACTCCTGCTTTTCATCCATAGGCACATATTCATATCCAATGTCCTGTGTGCTTGTAAAATCTGTGCTTGTCCGTTCTAAAGTCTTTGTAATAGAGCTACCCTCAGATTCTTCATTGTTAAATTCAGACAAAGAAGCATTGTGGGTTTTTGGAACTGCAATTTCAATATGCCAATCATCTTCATTGGAACGTTGATGATTTTCCACATAACTTGGACATGTTTTTTTCATAGACAAAGGAATCCTGCTCTTAGTTGAGCCAGTAACAGCTTTCTTGAGTGTGATATCCTTCCGTCCAGATTCACTAGCACTAGTGATATCACTGTAGTCACCTCCACAGAAATTCTCTGAACAAAATTGTTAAAGCATTATGAGAACAAGCAAAGCGCATTAAGTTAAGAAACATTCCAAAACTAAAAAGAAAAAAACAACAAGATATTTTCTTATTAATCAAAGCAGGCTTTCTATGCACTAGTAATATACATGAGGAATTAGGCTTCGGCTCCCCTATCATAAAAGAAAAATGAGGAGAAAACATAATTGAGGAAGCAGTATAACACAAAAGATATCATGATGAAAGACGATCTCTTTATCCACAATGCATCGGAAGCTAAAGTAACCCATCAGAGGAATATTAATAAGTTCATATGATGAAAGATGTAGAACATTGTCAAACAAGACTGCTTTCACCTATTAAACCTGTTCCTCCAAAAGTACACCAACATTTGAAGGGGAGTTTAGGAGCATGTATAATTTAAGCATGGGTTCAACTAGACCTTTATCATCAAAACCAAGATAAATAAAATCAGCTACAAGTCAAGTTCATATTTGGACTTTCAGGTTAAACACTTCATAAACTCCTTACATAAAGTTGAAGTTTTCATTTCATCTAATATACAGGAACTATTCTCAAGGAATTTTATTGAATTTCGGATAATAGAATAGTTTCCTTTACTAGGTTAATAAAACTGCACAACTATGCTAGTCATTGTAGAATTCAAGATGCATCACAAAATGTCCAAATCCGATTGAACTGCACTAGCTTCCAAATCTTCTTAGCTTAATAGGAAGCATCCAGAGGCAACACAAAGTATCAGAAAACAAGTAAAACCAACTATGGATTTAGATGTTTATGCGAGCATCCAGCACACAAGATAGAATTGAAGTAAAATGCAGCAAGTAAAACCAATCTGAACACACATATACAGATACTGGCAACCAGTCAGTAAACCTTTTATGGAAGATCCAGCTTCTGAAGGTTCAGGAGTATCTGATCCTGGAAGACTTTTCCAGCACTGTAGAGCCTGCAGGACCGTATCCCTAACTGGTTTCACCTAGAAACAAAAGAAGCACCAAACAGATCTAGTTTAATCATCTGCATGAAAGAAGATTCTCTGAGTGTAGATCTTTAATTAACACTAACCTTGTCAAAGCGACAAGATTCAAGGGAACGAATGCAGGAAGCCTTAAAAGAGCCCAAGAAGGATCCACCACCTGAAGCTATTTCCCCTACGCTATGCATGCAGCTTTGCGTGTTGTCCCAGTCATTACTCTTGAGAGATTCTGAATGCTAGCCATTGCAGCAGAGAGAATTTTGTGTTGGAGCACCCCCTGCCTAGAACAGAAAATCAAATTGTGCACCAAAAAACATTTCTACCACACAAAGTACAAAAAGTATAGGTGCTACAAAAATATACAGTAAAATAAAATAAACACAAGCATGTGAAGTATCAAAGTAGGTTGTTTAGAAGTGTAGTAGCCAACAGCACTATCCCATCCCATTCACTGATTAATTGAAAAAACACACTGTACTATGATTGAGAGGGAACACCATATAGCATGTTTTTACAAATTCTAGAGATTAAAAGAAGATTCTTTTGCACACAAATAAGTAAGCAAACTAATGTATTCATGCAAATACATCAATCTGTGATGATTAAAGGAGCTGTCATCTTAAATTGCTTTCATTGGTATAGATTGTAAATCAACATTAAAAACACTCTCCCTGATTTATTGAACAAAACTCGAAAGATTTGCGATAGAAATCCATTAACATTCTTCATACGATTTGGAAAAACAAAATTGCAATACCCGAATCATAAAAGACAATCAATATATCATGAACAACTTATGTTTGCTTAAGAACTCACCTGGATAATACTTCTGTTCAATCAATAATTGCTGGCTTCGCCATGAAATGTGGATTTTTTAACAACTTATTGTTCGGTTCAACATACGCTGCAGAAATTGGAAACTGGTGGATCATGACTATTGTCAATGACCCTAGCTAAACACAATGCTGAACCCGACTGCACCTGCCTGTTTTGTTCACACCAGAGCTTCGAAAAGTGGCCCCAAAAAAAAAAAAAAAAAAAAAAAAAAAAAAAAAAAAAAAAAAAAAAAAAAAAAAAAAAAAAAAAAAAAAAAAAAAAAAAAAAAAAAAAAAAAAAAAAAAAAAAAAAAAAAAAAAAAAAAAAAAAAAAAAAAAAAAAAAAAAAAAAAAAAAAAAAAAAAAAAAAAAAAAAAAAAAAAAAAAAAAAAAAAAAAAAAAAAAAAAAAAAAAAAAAAAAAAAAAAAAAAAAAAAAAAAAAAAAAAAAAAAAAAAAAAAAAAAAAAAAAAAAAAAAAAAAAAAAAAAAAAAAAAAAAAAAAAAAAAAAAAAAAAAAAAAAAAAAAAAAAAAAAAAAAAAAAAAAAAAAAAAAAAAAAAAAAAAAAAAAAAAAAAAAAAAAAAAAAAAAAAAAAAAAAAAGAGGATACCTTTAAGGCTCCACTAGCAATCCCTTAGAGCACTTCCACCCACAAGGGCTAAGTCTAAAGCAAGGGCAAGCAAGGGCTGCCACTATTCACATGAATAGTGTCAGCCTTTGCATTTGTGGTTCCACCCATGAGGGCAAAGTCTAGGGCAAGTCTAAGGAAAATACTATTTATTGTACTTTATTTCCTTTTTTTTTTAATACTTTAAACCATTAATTTTGATAGCTTTTTAGATTATATTTTCGATTCGTCACATGTCACTATTTATTATAAAATTTTCACTTAAAATTTAAGATATCATTTTTCGGATAAAATTTTCAAATAAAATTTTTGGATAAAATTTTCGGTTGCCACGTGTCCATATTTATTATAAAATTCACATCGAACTCATCATACAAATGAAATACCTACTCACTCATCATACAATTGAAATATTCTTGGTCCTCATAGTCCGACACAATGGAATACAAGGACAACTCCATCATTGACGGAGGCGGTTCTACCGGATCACGACGTGGGGGAGTATTTTCCTTCGGAGGACGTAATAGTGCCGTTATTTCTGACACGGAACGCACCACTGGAATTGACTGCGGGCATTGTTCACTTGAGGAGCCATGTGTAATGGTTTTCCTCTTTTTTGTTTTGCCTTGACTAATCTATTAAAAAAAAAGAAATTGGAAATGCAGGAAATATATATATATATATATAAAGACATTAAATTGAATAAAACTGAAATTAATTTTTTTTTTACCTCGTTGCCAAGATTTTGACCTCTTCGAACATTTGTCCACAACCCTCCGGCTTCGATGGAAGATAACATTTGTATTTTTGCACAAATGAAATTTTGTAAAATTTGGTGTGGAAAGTGAAAAATATTGGAAGGAGATGAGTTTGTATGAAGATTTGGTGTGGAAAGTGAATAAAATTGTTACGTATTTATAGGGAAAAAATCCAGAATTTTTTGGTTTTTTTTTAAAAAAAATTCGAAAATCAAATTTTTTTTACTGTTGGCGCGTGAAATTCACGCGCCACGCGCCAACGGTAAATTTTTTTTGATTTACTCCACAATGACGTCACCGCCCTCGGGCTAAAGCCCAGGCGAAAGTTGCCCTTGGGCCTGCCCGGGCTGGTGGGACCCAGCGATTGCCCGAGCTCATTCCTGCGCGCTGGAGCGGATTTGGGCAGCCAGGGGGGCCTTTTGCCCAGGTTTGGGTGAGCGTTGGACTTGCTCTTACAGGCCTGAAGAAAGCGGAGGGCGAGAGGGAAGAAGAACAACATGGGTTACGATTCGTGTGATGAGGAAGTTTACGAGGAGTTTGGTAGGGGCTAATCGATTTCTGGGGTTCATGTTTGGCAATGTCAATGAATATGGTGATCTTGACGTCGATTATATTGACGACGATACCACTGTTACTGGAGCAGATCATACCGATCCGCGCAAACTAAGCATGGAGGCTGCACGAGAGGTTCTTCTTAGATTCGGTGTTTCTGATGAACTGATTGCGAGGCAGACTAGATGGCATCGGATTGCAATGATAAGCAAGCTTTCCAGTGAGCAAGCTGCATCTGGGGTCAAAGTTCAGAGTTTTTCTTCAGCCATAGGTGGGGACGAAAATGAGAATGGCTGTGAAGGAAATAATGGCGATCTAGATTCTTTTGCGGGCGATTTGGAAAATCTGCTTGATGCAGAAGAATGTGATCAAGAAGGTCTAGGCCTAGGAGGTGACCATGAATCCAAGCATGATAAACCGGATGGTGTCAAAGGGCTTAAAAAGAGAAGCCGGCCATCCATCCCTCAGACAGAAGAGGAAATTGAAGATGAAGCAGCTGAACAAAGCAGGCTTCTCATGGATGATGATAAGACTGCGAGGAAGAAGAAGAAAGTAAGATTTGTGGAGGAGGAAGCAGGGTTGGCTTCTGGCTCGCAAACATGTTTTGGTATCGAAAATCCGGGGAGGCCATTGAAGCAAATTATTGGTGCAGCCAAAGCTAAGGGATCCTATACTTCAAAAGAGAATCCAGTGGGAGATGCCAAAATTCCTAATCTTCCCAAAAGAAACAAGACCGGAAAATGTAAAGGAAATAGAAATAACGATACTACTGAAGATACAGATCTGATGATTAAGAAACTGATAATATCAATAAATGGAGATAAGGGGTTTCAGGAGAAGAAGTCAGCGAGACAGAGTTTCAACTGTGGAGCATGTGATCAGCCTGGACACATGAGAACAAACAAGAACTGCCCCAAGTATATTCATGGAGAAGATATCCATAGAGCTTCTCAAAAATCGGCTACTCTAAATCCATCTTGTCAATCTCAGCCGAAAACAAGGGCAAAGGAGCTGATACCTAAAAGCTCTGCAACTAAAATTTCGGTGATTGAAGCTTCCCAGGTTGAAAACCATGGTCTGAGCACAAAGCTTCCTAGATTGAAATTCAAATGTGGGCCTAACAAAATGAAGTCTGAAAATGTGCCAGTTGAACCCCCTAGTGTGAACCATGATACTGAATCACAAAGGGCAACTGTTGTTATACAGGCACCAGCAAATACAGATAGAGAAGAGGTGGAAAGTTCCCAACAGAAAGGGCCATTTGCGGAAGCGAAGAAAGAGCTGCATCGATATCATAAGAAAATTGTAATTAAACTTCCAAAAAAACTATTGATTTTAGATCATGATCATCAGGTCGATTTGCGTAAAGAAAATATACAACTTTGACTTCATCTCAGATGGCAGAAGCATCAATGAAAGAAAGTAGTTGCATCTCTTGTGTAAATTTATGACTCTGAGTTGTAATTTGCATAACAATCATTTAACCAATAATACCATCTTTGAAATAAGACTTTTTCTTAAAGATTTTTCTTCCCAAAACTATAGCTGCCTCCCAAAATTTGTCCACATACGTATCAGTTCTGAAATAATTTGTGAATGCTCAAACAATAATTCTTTGGTGAAAGGCAACCAAGACACCAGCAAACAAAGTTACAAAACTAAAGTTAATTTCAGGGTGACAAAGAAAGAGACTCTACATCTATCGAAACACATGTACACTAAGATACTTAAAAGAAAACTTACGAATCAATAGGCTGCTTGAGAAAAGTAGAATTATATGATAAAACCCGGTGACAGAACAACTACTTTCATTTCGATATTCATTTTGAAATCTTCTTAATGGGGAATATGTAATTGCAGCTTCTTTGGAGAAAAGGACAATAGCAGACATGATAAACCAATTAATTAAAAACTGTCACTATTTCCAAGTAAATTGAAAACAAATCCATCACTCTAACTCGTTGATACCCATTGCTTGTCACTATCATCAGTATATATTTCAACATACATTCAAATATACATAACCTGTATTTTCTGCTCACTAGTGTCTGACAATCTCAAGGATATGCTGATATCTATAACTTGCATTGGGCAGATATACAATTTCTCATTAATTTATAACTTATAATTAAAGGAGTTTTATCAAACTCACTTAACACAACAAACTGACAGACATTATTGAAATGAGTACCTTTTCTGAATATTGTCAGATGATGAAACACAAACTTGCCGAGCAAACATATTGATCATTTCATCCACCTCCTGTCTTGATACTTCATTTATGTCTCGAATCTGCAGATTATATACAAAAAGGTAATAGTAGTTTAATGTTAAAAAAAATTGTGAATTGATCCAACAGGAAATGTCGTTTGAATCCAATTTTACCTTATTTAGTAATAAGGATTTTTCCTCGGTGGCTCTTGGCGGGCGCTAGGCGGCTAGGCGGGCTCTAGGCCGGCTAGGCGGCTAGGCGGCTAGGCGGTCACTGGGCGGCTAGGTGGTTTCTAGGCGGGCGCTAGGCGCCTAGGCGGGCTCTAGGTGGTGGCTAGGCGGTCTCCAGGTGGCTAGGCGGGCGCTAGGCGGTAGCTAGGCCGGCTCTAGGCGGCTAGGCGTGCTCTAGGCGGCTAGGCGGTCGCTAGGCGGCTAGGCGGTCGCTAGGCGGCTAGGCGGGAGCTAGGCTGCCAGGCGGGTTGGGTCTTTTCTCGGTGCCGAACCCCGGAGGACGAAGCAGTGACTGCGAGTGCAAGTTCCGTCCTCTGCGAGTGCAAGCTTCGTGTTCGTTGGAATATATTTAAATAGTATAGCCGCGCGGCTATACGTTTAAAATATTCGAATCTATTTAGAAAGCATAGCCGCACGGCTACACTTAAATTTATTCAAACGCATTTGAAGAGTATAGCCGTCCGGCGATACTCTTTAAATATACAATTTTGTCATATTAGTTTAGGGTTTGGGGCTAAAATACAAAAAACATGAGAAGAAAGTTCCCAACTGCACATCATATCTCATTGAAAAATCTACAAACCCTGGGACAGAATAACTACTTTTAATTCAATATTCATTTTGAAATCTTCTTGTAAGGGTAGGAGATTGTCATAAGAGGATAATAAGAGTAATTAGGATTCAAAAACGGATCATTTACTCCTTCACCACCGTGGCCATTAGGATTCAAAAATTGACGGTAAAGAGGATAATAAGAGCAAACTCTACCACCCCAACAATCCCCACCAATAGAACCTTCACACCTGAAATTACTAATATGAGAAGCAAGCTTCGATATTTCTTCATCGCTCTCATTGAAACCTTTACACTTCTTGGCATCCAGAAGCACCAGGTTTTTGCAGCCCTGTAGAATTACAACAAAATCATCCCGACAAGTCTGTGAGTTCATCAACGTCGGGTTCTTGATATTGAGAAAAAGGTTAACAATCGACATTGACGCATCTCTTCCAAGAGACTCAAACAAAGTTAAAACATAAAAGCTCTTGCAGTGAATCTGCTCAATTATTTTCACAAGATTATAGCTACCTCCCAAAGAAAGCTCCTCCAAATTTTTCCACTTGCATATGAGTTCTGGAAATATGCATCTAGTTTCATCCAACAGTTCTTCAGCCACAGACAAAGACATATGGCAAGGACAGCTGCAAATAAAATTAAAGTCATCATAACAAAACAAATATATTACATTGAACTTAAGTAATCTTGAGATTTAAACTTAATAATCTGCAACAAACATCAAGGCTTTTTCAATGCACCACCCAGGTAGCTTGAGAAAAGTAACAATACCGTTGCTACAGCTAATGACAAACATTATAAAAACAGTGACATAAATTTTTTTCCTGCTAATTCCATATAAAAATTGAAACTTTCTTAAGAGGGTAGGAGTTGTCAAGAAAGGAAGGACCTCCGCAACCGAAGGGTCAAATACTTTTACTTCTGGAAAATCAATACTCAGCCTAATGGATTGGTGCTTGCTCTGTACCATGACTTGCAAACAAAAGGGACATCACAAAGCAGCAAGACCAAGCCAACTCTACCCTAAACATTCACGAGACAGTCAATGTTCAACTCCTCCCATCTTCGTTGATCCTCCATCTACAACAAAGCAATGCAGCTAGCCTATAAGTAAACCTGTCTTATATATAGAACCAAATGCTACCAAACGATTGCCAATGGTCATGAAAAAGATATCACTCGTAAAAGAATAAAAGACATCACTTGGAAAAGAATTAGTACCTCAACGCAGGAGAAAGCTGGAGATATTAAGGTAAAGTTGGAAAGCCTCACCATTCCGATTGCTTCTCCCATAATTGCTTAATTTTTTTTTTTTTTTTTTTTTTTTTAAAAAAAAGAGCGTCGGGTTTATTGGAAATGGAAGAACATTGCCGATGCATTACCAATTTTTAATCTTTCCGGAGGTTAAGAATATGACTTTCGGTTTCCCCAGAAAAAAAAATAATAATAATAACACTTCAATTACACAGCGAACTGCTAGAAATGAGTGTATCGTTTGCTCTTCTCAATAAAACACGAAATTCCTTGTTGCTGATCAATTGCTCTTATATATATATACATGCAAAACCGATATATACAAGCCATCGATTGATAATGCATGCATGCATGCATTTATATATATACACATACCTAGTGTAGAAGTGTATGATTTCATGTTCGCGAGTGATGCCCATTCTGGAGAATGTCAAGAAAATGGTTCTCTCGTGATCATAATATTGCTGAATGGCGTCCACTTCCTCCTCATGATGACCCCTTTCATCCTTCAAACCACCATAGCCCTGTGGGTGAGTTGGAATTTCTGCAAAATGGTGAGCCATGTTGGAAGCGAGATCGAAATAAAATGAAAATGAAAAACATCTGAACATTCTTCTTTACTTCTCATTCTCATATCCTACATGTTTCATATAACCATTCTCCGATTCTAATAGGAACATTCATAATAACAACTGAAGTGAAATGCAATATAGTGGGGTTTGCTGCCGTTGAATTTTTGGAGAATGATTGTTAGGACCGGGGGAGTGTCCACAAAGGGGTATATTGCTCTCCAGTTTCCTTCGTGACTAATCCATCTTCTACCTTCAACTTGAACAAATTTGGAAGTTGGCCTTCATTTCTTTCTTCAACATACCTTGTATAATCGAATGAGTTATCCAATCTAAGGTACCACGCTTAAGTTACAGCATCATAAAGTGCTATAAGATGGGGGGTTGGTGGAATTAGAAAGAAAAAAAAATTGCGTCCTTTACAGGGGAATATCATGGAGAACCAAACAAAGGGTTTGCATTTACTAATTTTGGATGTCAATCATCTCCTTGTTCTAGAAATCCTCTCTTTTAGTAACACAACTCAAAAATGAATTACATCCTTGGATTTCTAATGAACTAATGGGATTCAAATGAGTAAGCATAGCTAAGAAAAGAAGAGGATCTAGATCCTTATAATTTTCGGTTCGTGTTATTATTCAATTAGAAATGTGAGTGATATACCACACAATTGAAAATTCCAAAGAAACAAAAAAAAACAAACAAACAAACAAACAAAAAAAAACATTCAGTTAAAATGAATCCTTGTATGTTGAGAGCCTATGAATTTGTTCTATATGTGTGATTCTTACTTGAATATGACCAAATTCACAGCTTCACATCAAAACGCCAACAAAGAATTAATCCTAGATATAAACCTTATAAGACATATTCAAGTAAGGTTATAGCTAAAATCATGCTAAAGAGGAAATCGAAGAAGAAACTGGAAAAAAAGAAAAACTCACTTATAATGTCACCATGGAAAGTCCTAGTGGCAGGCCATTTTTTGTAGTCAATGTTATCAATGGTAGTCCATCCAGTAGGCTCTCCATTCTTGTTTACAGCTGCACGGGAGTCCTGCACCACAGCCATCATTACCACTAGCATAGCTAACACCTTCATCGCCATAATCATAGTTGCTAGAATCTCTGTGATCAAGATCAGTTGTATATCATGGGAGTCACAGGTTGGAGTTGTGTTTTGTGTTGTTTTGTTTTATCTCTCTTGTCTCTTTATGTCGATCTGAGTAGTACGTGTGCCTCTTTATTTTTTATAATAATAAATTTGTCTCATATCCGTTTTGGTTGTCCAAAAAACAAGTTTACTATTTTTTTTAAGTCGATTGTTGGTTTTTCTAATCAATTACTGTTGTTTGATTTGTTATTTTTTATCCAGTGAAAATTGTATTAACAATCGAGTTACAAGGGCCAATACTCCAGGAGGTGGTATGTCCACATCATTCAGAAAATATTACCTTCCTCCTATCACATCCTCAAGGGGGTGTCAACCTCGCGAGGTGTCAATGCATACTAGTGTGGAAAAATAAGACTTCCTCATCAAAAGCCCAAAACCAATTATCACAATGAAACCAAACGAAAAGTTACAGAGCCCAGAATCTGAACCCAAATAAGTGAATAATCCAAAGGGAGCCCATAACCGGCCACGAAGAAGTTAACGGCTACTAATTCCTAACAAGATTGGGAAACAAAGAAAACAAGGAAGCCGCTCATAAATACCCACTTACCCAAAAGAAACACCAAAAAATAAAAAAACTAAAAACCCACTTCCCACCCCTCCCTCTCTTCTCCTCTTTCAAGTCTAAAACGATCAGAAACAGAACCCTTCTCTCTCGGCTCCCCACTGTAACTGTCTTTCGTGCTCTCTCTCCTCTCTCTTACCAGGTGATCTCTCTCTCTCTCTCTCTGTGTTCTGCCTGTCTCTCTCGAATTTCAAGAAGAGAGGGGTATATAATTGATTTCTTTGTATGCAAGATTTGATTTTTAACACACTTGCAGCACGCTAATGCTTTCACTTTGTCTATTAGGGTTTTTCTTTTTGTCTTTTATTTTCTGGGTATATACCTACCAATTAGGGTATTTGATAAATATTGTTAATTTTTATAATCAAGTTTGAGTGCTGCTAAATTTACGATATAAAAATTGGGACTGGGGGCCGCTGGGATATGCGGGTCTTTTAAATTTAAAGGGCTAAGGATGAGTGGGGCCCTCATGTGGTGCAATTACCACAATGGGGTTCGTCTTCAAATTTCAAAACCTCATCGGATGGAGGTGGACTGGAGGTTTATTTACTTTTAAGCTTTACCTAGGACTCTTCAAGAGAGGAATTTCTGTTCATCTGCTTCTCTAGAAATGGAGATGGTTTGTCGGGCACGCATGCATTGTATAGTTCAGTGATCAGAACCATTTATTTTGTTTATTCGTTATGAGATTTTAGTGTTTTCTAGAAACAGTGTGTTCGCTTGTTCATAAGCTGTCTGTCTGTTCTTGCAAAACAAATCCTTCTCCTCCATGTCGAGTGTATGTATACCCTCACTCCCTCCATCTCTCGTCATGTAACATATCATGTGATTAGAGAGAGAGGCGTATCCCGGTTTCAATTAAGTTTTTCAACTCCTAAAGAGCTTGATACAATACATACAAAATAATTTAAATTTTTTTTTGTTATTGGTTGCTATTCCCTAAAAGTCATTCCAACTTCATATGGCAGGTTGCATCAGTCTGATGAACCAAGGCATCAGTGAGGAACCAGGGCACTAAATTTCTCTCCTTGATATCCCGTCCTGAAAAAGAAAATTTCCTGCATTCGTTTGCCGGGAAATTTTCTGAGAAACGGAAAGAAGATCAAGATGGAAAAGAATCCAAGAGAAAATGCCTTGGCCTACGTACTGAATCAAGTACAAGGAGTCAAACATTTCAAGGATGCTCAAGAGAAGTTAAAAAAGAGCATATATGATAGAGGCTTTCTTCTCTTCAAAAAGGTTAGGGAGAAACTTGGTAAAGACAAGTTCGTCGAATTCCTAAAGCAACTGCAAAGGTATAGCAATGGAATTATAGATTTGACGGAGTTTTTAAACTTGGTGGACGATGCAGTTCGAGACGATCAAGATCTTATGAACGACATTGATGCTTTTTTGGAGCATTGTGATAAGGAGCAGATGAATTGGTCGCTTAGGAATGAAAGTTGACTCTTTAACAAGTTTTGTTGTAGTTAGTTCCATTCACCATTTTATGAACTTGTGGATTTTGAAGGTGTGAATTTGTTCAACTTCTCTTTTCTGCTGTAACATTTGAACCAAGCTTTTCGTCGGTCTTTGTATTTTTGTATATGACCCTGGCTAGGTTAAATGTTAAGCTTTGCGAGCTCCCTATTATGAACTCTATGCGCAGTTGTCATTTCCAGGGGTTTTTGTACCCTCACACCTTCCACAAGCCAATCATTTTTGGTCTTCTACATTGCAAATCAAATAATGCGATCCTCGACCTCATGGTCCTCGCATCACTGTTGTCTTTGCCGTTCAATCCGTCAAATTTCATCACGTGACCACAACTTTAGGGGGCACCTTTGTCAAAGCAATGTGTGGAGGACCGAATGATGACTTTTGAAATCTTGAAGGACACTTGTCAAAGCAATGTGGAGGACCAAATGATGACTTTTGAAACCTTGAGGGACCACATCGATAGATTTGCAAATCTTACGAGCATGACTTGATTCCCATTCCTCCCACTATGTACGATTAAACTGGTTAATTTAAGATTGAAAGCATTGTTGGGAAGAATGCAGATCTGTATTTATCACATTTGACAAGTGTCGGGATTTCTAATTGAGGGTTCATAAATTAGGAAGGGACTTTCTTTCGAACGCTACAAGTACGAGAGTAATTTCCGATGAATGACACCAATCCTTGTATTTGTTTTCACAAGTATATGCTAAGCATACATGTCTAAAATTGAGTTTATTTATAAATTTGTATAATATTAATACCGTACAAACTTGTCACTCATCACCATGTGTTATGATTTGTGTGGATTGGTAACACCAATAAATTCGTATTTCCTATCAATATTCAAAATTCTGGATTGGTATAGATAAAAGGCAAGGTGCTCCACTAAAAACTTGCACCAAGGTAAGAGTACAAATAGTACATTTACAAAGTTGACATTAACTTACAGCCAAAACTGGTACTTGAGAGATCACGTATCTATATAATCTACAGATTGAATGGTCCTTACAAGCTCCTTCAAATTGGCCAGGACATGGCGTGGTCCTAAGCTCTTAACACCAATGTAATTCAAAAGCTGCTCTAAATCCTACACCACACCCAAAAAAAAAATGCTAAGGTCAACTAAGTATAGATAAAATGCAAAAAAACCGTGACATTTAATGGTTAAGAAATTAAATAAAGAAAAAAACAAAACCCCAAAAAAAATTCCTTACTCACTAACAGAAGCGGAATTTTAAAAACAAAAAAAGTATCTTTGTCAAGGCAACATGCAGATGTAAATGCTGAAAGTAATGCCAGATTTGAGTGGGTTAAGGAGCAGCAAGATTTTGTTCTCTCTTCTACCTTCTTTCTCTATTCCTACATCAATTTGGTTTCAGGGAAAACCTCGTTCTAAATTATTGAGTTTTCACGGTTACCATTGCCCAAAAAAACAAAAAAAGATTCAAAAGGAGAACTTTAATACACACAAATGCACAGAGATCAAACGAATGAAGATATTATAACCATATGCAAACTAACGAAACTATTTTAGTCTCAATAGGTGTTATGGAGCCCATGAAAAGATATGAAGAAAATTGCACCTTGTTTAGTAAGAATACAGCATATGCCGCTCTCGTTGTGTCTTGACCGTCTAAAAAGAGAGGGAACTCCACATGCTTCACATCCGTGGAAACCACTGTATTTGATGACAAATCAGATGAAGTAGCCTCTACGGATGGTCCATAATCAATAATATAGGAATGTGAACCACCCAATCGCAATGGATAACGCAATGGAACTTTTAAGTAGGAAGCTATAAGTAAGACAGCCTGCATTCAAAATCAATATAATAGAGCATTTTTACTTGAAACAACTATGGCTAAACAAACAAAACAAATTGCCCCCAAAAAATGTACTTCAATATGACCGCATAACTGTTACTGAAAGAATATAAATTTCTTCTGGCACAGGAAAATATTATAGCATTTTAAAGTAGAATCATCTAAATTTATCATGTATGAATTGACAACTTTATAGTTTATATCAAGCAAAGAAAAAGTACTACGCACATGACCGACATATCCCAGGGCAGTTGCAGACTTCTGAACCTCCTTCTTGTTGGTGAAAAAACTCATCATTTTAAAAGGCAGCATAGTTAAATGGAGACCTAAAATTGTCAATGTTCCTTGATTTGCAGGTTTAAATCGAGCAGAATTACCTGTATTGAAGAAAAACAGAAGAAAAATATAATCCAAGTACCAGAGCACAGCAAAATACATTACAAGAGGTTATTAGAATTGACACCACGAATATATTAATTTTTTCGCAATAAATACTCCATACAAGAAAATAAACCTGAAAATGGATATTGCGGAACTGTCTAGCCAACAAAACCTTAAGAATGTATAATTATATCAAATCAAATAAATAATAACAGTGAAAATCATTAAATATACAAAGCAATATATACAGTATAAGATCATGATACATATTTTGAATATATAAATAAATACATATATACAAATACGATATACCCGAAAAACTTCAAGAGCAAAGATCCACAATGTGGGCAGCCCCGCTGTCTGAAAAGTGATATATTTTTCCTTTTCTTTAAAGTTTTCATTTACAAGTTGCAACAGAGTTTATTCTTTAGAGCCTAATAGAGTTTAGAGGTTACAGTTTAAAATTTAGCTCTAAGGTTAGGTTTAGGGGGTAAGCCCAAACTCCAAATCCTAAGCCTTGGATGGAAAGAAAAAACAAAAACAAAAATAAGGTAACTATCAAATGCCACAGGACATTTGAATGCTTACGTTCACTTAAGAACTATCCCGCAATCCCGACCAGCAATATCATAAGGAAATTGCCCATATTTTAGATAGAGATCGAGGTCAAGAACGTAATTTAGACTATCTTGAGAACTCCAAAGAAACAAGCTTTTAATGAAGGAAATAAGGACTGAGATTCTGGGGAAAAAAAATTACCAGTACATAACCCCATAAATTCCTGAGCACTTGTACAAATTAAGCACATGGGAAATATAATATATATATATATATATATATAGTTGAGATAGAAAATATTGCCATGATATCCAAAATTTCATGAATGTGGATAAATAACTAGGAAGGAGCTGTAGTAATTGCTTGAACTATTTAGCCCCTTTTTTCCTTCCATTAGTCATATGGGTAATTATTGATTCTACTACAGCTACTCTTTTTTCAGATTGCACAAATTAAACAAGGTCTTGTACAACATGAAATAAATATCACAAGGTACAACTCGCTTGCATATACCTGATCTACTAGTGTTAGGAAATGAATCAAGTTCCTGTTCTTGAGCAGGACCCATAGTGAACTTTACTGGATAGAGCAATGAAACTTGTGATATCATATGTTGTTGTCTCCTTCTTAGCATCTTTTGCAAATTTTTAAGACGAACATACCCCTTTTCTGTGGAAAGTAGCCGATTTGATTCCTGTAATGAAAGTACAATCAGATTTTTACCAGCATATATCAAATACTAAAGTTTAACAGTAACCATTAACCTTGAAAAGGCACATAGAGAAGAAAAATTAAAGGTTTTTAAGAAAAGTATAGCATGATGAGTTTTGAATTTTGAAATGGATCAAAGCAAAGCCAATAGAAAATAAAAGTCAAAAAAAGAATTGATGAAATGAAACAAAAGAATAGAACATATGCACGACAACTACTAGTTTACCAACAATGAAAGAAACTTTCAATTCAAAAGTGACCCAATATAAGTAATTTACACTAGTCATATATACATTCCTTATTAATGGTATAACTTAAATTAACTGCAATGGAATTTTTGGAAAAAAAAATTTGCAATGCGACAAATTTTTGCTTCTCAAGACGGCTAATCCAAAAGAAACTAGAGTTTATATTTCACAAGCTAATAAGTTCTCTTTCACCCAAGCACTGTTTGGTATATAATAGTTATAATCAATTCTACCTCCAACCGCTTCCTAGCAACAGATAGAGCCGTCCCAGCAACCAATAGCGACCTAAGCTCTATACTAAGCTGCTCCTCTTTCTTTTTAGTATCTTCCACAGCAAGCATAGAATGCCTTGACATGTTTCCCAACACCATTTTTCTAGCCTCCAGTTTCTGGTGCATCTCCTCAAGCTCATTTGATCGACTCAATGACTCGGCTTCAACCTGCCAACAATATTGCCGCCCGCTAACCCGCGGGCTAATCAGTTAAGACCCGATCAATCAAGTAACAACACAATATGTCAATGACAACTTAGTGCACAACCAGAATACACTTTCAATTAGTCCCAACTCCTTCAAATGCTCTAAACAAAAGCCAATGCACAGTCAAGGGAGGGGGATGAGGAACCTTTACATTTTTTTCATTCTTTTATATAGTTACTATATAACAAGCTCCATAACTCTATTTTTCCTTGACTTAAAATTTGGGTCAACTAAGCAACATTTTTTTTATTGTAAATACTAACCAGCAGAAACCAGAGACAATAAGGCACTTTTACTAATTTCTGAAGAATAAGGTATACAAACAAACTATGCTGCAATGCTTTATTTGATAGATGAACAAGAAATGAGACTGCGCAAACAAATAAGGAACTAGTATAAAAATTCTGAAACTATGAGTAAAAGTAAATTTAATGCACGTTCTTTTCTTACATCAACTCGGCAAAAAAAAGAGGAAAATTTTATAGCCCAAATGACTCAACTTACAAGGTCCTCAATTCATATTTTCAGAGCCTCGTACCACCAGTTTAGCTGAAACTAGATTAAACTAATCTAAAAAAGAATATTTATATATCCATGCCCTCAGAAACCAAATTAAATCCACATACCAGTGGCCCAGCTAAAAAAGAAATTTCTTTTACCTACGAACACCTGAACAATTCTAATTTTTCCCTCTAAATCTGCTAATTTAGTAACTAATAAACCCAGTTACATCTAAATAAGTAACGGAAGAACTTTTTAAACTCCAATTTGTAACTGCACAAAAAATTAAATTAAATATCCCTATTCACTCACTTTTTTTTTTTCAGAACTTAAGACTATAATACAACTAACCTCAATATCAAGAGCACGAAGCATCCACTAAAACCCTACCTCAATGAGAGATTCGAGCTTCCGCTGAAGACTCTGTTTCTTCTCCTGAGCTTCGCTGAGCGCAGAAGAAAGACTCCACAACCTCACAAGCTCTTGCTCGAATTCTTCCCATTCGATCACCTTCACATTTTCGGGATCGCTCTTCTTCGGCTCTGCGGACAGGGTTCGGTCTCGTTCCATTAAGAAAAGGAGAGAGAATTTTGTTGTGGTTCGAATTTGAGACGGGGCCACGGGATCGACATCATCGTCTCAGAGTCGCCAGTTAGGGTTCAGAACTCATTTTCTGGGGAAAATGTTTTGGTTTCTTTTTTTTTCTCGGGAAAATTTGTTTCAATTCTTAGACCAGTTTGAAAGAAGGTTTGTTAGGCAAAGAATGACAAGTGGAAGGGAAGACTGGAAGTTACTTCAGACGAGGATATAAATGTCATTTCAGTAGAACAAGCAGATCTCTGCAGTAAAGTGCACCCGGTTGCATAGGATACAGCCTATAAAAACCAATTATCTTCTTTTTCTTCTTTTCCTGAGTTTGAATGCAGAAAATAAACTCGAAAAATAAGTCAGAATTTATAAATTAACATATAACAATATAAATTACAAAACGTAGAAATTCTATATGAAAAAGAAAAAAACCTTAAAATTTAGAGGTGATAGATTTCAACTTTAAATTACATCTAACTAGTTGTCATTTATAAATTTAAGAGGGTGTTATTTTTATAATTATTAAAAAAAAATTTTAAAAAAATAAACATGTACAACTTTAAATTATGCTTCAGCACTCATTTTTACTTTGTCCGGTAAAACTCATTATATCTCTTAAACAATGTTTGGTGTTTTAAAAAAGAGTTAATCATATTTTGCACACGATTAAACCCTGAGATATTTCATTATGAAAATCGCAACGAGAACTCGTTACAACAACCACTAAGGGCACAAAAAGCCCTGAAGGGCACAGGTCACAAGAGTCTATAGTGAGGGCCTTAGGTAAGGTCCTTTTTCTTAACTGTTGGATCAAATTGATTAGCTTAATTTCGGTTAAGAGATAAAACCTCACCTAAAAGCCATATATAAAGCCCTCACTATAGAATTCTTGCAGGTCACAACACAACTTTCAACGGGGAACAAGAGGTAAACATATATGATGAACCTCAACAAATGACCCAAGAGTTACCAAGCTGGCCCAAAACCATAAGCAGAAACCCATATACAGCAAAACAAACTCGCACCACTGTTTTAACTGTTCCAATACAATGGTGTACTTGTATGACCTTTTGTTCATCTTAAACAAAGTCCATTTTGAGAATCTCAATTGAAAAAGACCATCGTTTCGAAAATCATAACTTCCATAAAAGAGAGTGATCCGGCATATGTTAAAGTTGATTCTGATTACTGTTAATACACCGTTTAGGGTTTCAAAGTTATGAACGGAATGGTAAGCAAAGCTGATAAAATAAGGGAGTTTCACTAAAACACCCAAAATGGGAGTTGAAATTATAAAAAAACCCAAGTACTATTTAAACATATAAAAACACTCAAAACCCATCATTACACATACTCAAAACTCATTTATAAACACACCCAAAAAATTGACTTTGGGGTTGATTTTGGGTGTGTTTCTATGTTTAAATAATGCTTGGGTTTTTTTATAAATACATGTCTAGGATTGAGTTTATTTATAAATTTGTAATAAAGTAATAAGGACAAACCAACCAGAATCCAATTGGAGGCTCCAATTTGGAGCATCCAAATTCAAATACCACCAAGAGTATAATGAACCTGCTTCAATAAAGGCCACAAGATATCCACTCAAGGATATATACAATATTATCTCAAGAAATAATCAAAACTCAAATGACTCGGCAGTAGTTGGATCCATCAAACCAAGAACTAAAAATACTCCAAAGCCAAATATATAAGGTTGAAAAAATTATCCATTCAACAGACGCAACAAAACTTGAAAATTAAATAGTCTCAACTCTCAACATCCTCCTTAAAAAGGCGGAATTGACTCAAACATAAACCAGCAATGTGTCACCACCGCCTGTCCAGCACCCAGTTCTGTGCGCATACACCGGAGATGGAGCACAGGGAACTAGCTGAAGCAAAAGAACTACAGACTAAACCGGCTAAACAATTTAAAAACACACAACTTAAATATGAGTCTTTAAAAGCAATGCATAGGTTTGCATCATTGAAATTTTGATACTGTGCCATTATTCTTCACTTCTTCTTGGCAGCAGACTTGGTGACCTTGGCACCACTGGGATCCTTCTTCTCCACGCTCTTGATAACACCAACAGCAACGGTCTGACGCATGTCACGGACAGCAAAACGACCCAATGGAGGGTACTCAGAGAAAGTTTCCACAACCATGGGCTTGGTGGGAAGCATCTTCACCATACCTGCATCTCCGTTCTTCAAAAATTTGGGCTCCTTCTCAATCTCCTTACCAGACCTCCTGTCAATCTTGGTGAGGATCTCACCGAACTTCACAGCAATGTGGGAAGTGTGGCAATCAAGAACTGGAGCATATCCGTTGCCAATCTGACCAGGGTGGTTCATGATGATGACCTGGGATGTGAAGTTGGCAGCCTCCCTGGCGGGATCATCCTTGGAGTTAGATGCAACAAAACCACGCTTGAGATCCTTCACAGCAACATTCTTAACATTGAATCCGACATTGTCACCAGGCAGTGCCTCCTGAAGGGCCTCATGATGCATCTCAACAGACTTAACTTCAGTGGTGAGCCCAGTTGGTCCAAAAGTGACAACCATACCAGGCTTGATAATACCTGTCTCAACACGGCCCACTGGCACAGTTCCAATACCACCAATCTTGTACACATCCTGAAGTGGTAGACGGAGGGGCTTGTCTGAGGGCCTCTTGGGCTCATTGATCAAGTCAAGAGCCTCAAGAAGGGTTGGTCCCTTGTACCAGTCAAGGTTGGTGGACCTCTCAATCATGTTGTCACCCTCGAACCCAGAGATGGGAACAAAGGCAATTTTGTCTGGGTTGTACCCAACCTTCTTCAGATAGGATGAGACTTCCTTCACGATTTCATCGTACCTTGCCTTGGAGTACTTGGGAGTAGTGGCATCCATCTACAAGTAGCAATAACAAAAGAATACAAACAAGTTAAAAAAACAAGATTCCAGTGAAATTTGTACAATAAGAAACCACAACCAACAACACAGGATGCACAATGCAAAAATAGAAAGGAATACATCCACTATCAGTGATCATATAATAATACCAGAGACCCAGAATGGAAGCATAATTGTAACCATATGCAGTAGGCAAAAGCATTTAGATATTTAACAATATGCGACACACAACAATAAAGCATTAGCTATTTTGTAAAACTTAACAAAATCATAACAGCACTGTGAGGCATATCAAACATTGCAGTGAATTGCTTAAAAGACGCTGACTCAAACCAACAAAAAGAAGAGAGAGGGAATCGAACCCTCAATAGTTCACAGAGAACTATGCCACCAGGCAATCCCTCCAATACATAAACATAAACATCTTCTAATAAAGTGGACACTACCCATAGTTCCGGACACCATCGATGTCCACAAATGCAAATCCCAACAACCAACAGTGCATTTGAACTACAGGAGTATCCCTTTACCAGACAGAACCAGCTGCTGACAAAAACTCAGTTATAACATATGAGAATTAAATCATATAGCATTTGCGGTTTTTATACCTTGTTACAGCAGCAAATCATCTGCTTCACACCAAGGGTGAAAGCAAGAAGAGCATGCTCACGGGTCTGGCCATCCTTGGAGATACCAGCTTCAAAACCACCAGTGGTAGAATCGATGATGAGAACAGCACAGTCAGCCTGTGAGGTTCCAGTAATCATGTTCTTGATAAAGTCACGATGTCCTGGGGCATCAATGACTGTGCAGTAGTACTTGGTGGTCTCAAACTTCCACAAGGCAATATCAATGGTGATACCACGCTCACGCTCGGCCTTAAGCTTGTCAAGCACCCAGGCGTACTTGAATGACCTTTTGTTCATCTCAGCAGCTTCCTTCTCGAACCTCTCAATGACACGCTTGTCAATACCTCCAAGCTTGTAGATAAGATGACCAGTTGTGGTCGATTTTCCAGAGTCGACATGGCCAATGACCACGATGTTGATGTGAAACTTTTCTTTACCCATTATAAGCGATTAAAATTTACCTGTGAAACACAACGAATATCAACTATTAGATCTCAGAAAACAAAGAAACTATTGAAAATAAAATCCCAAAAACAACAAAACATTTCAAAATTTTGAAGACCACAATTACAAGAAACATATATATATATATATTATAATAACTTTTAAATTATTAAACAAACATATAGTTTCTAAAAATCTTGAAAAAAAAACTCTCAGCAAGATTAATCATATCATTTAATACGATGAACAGTAACTTAATCGAAGACAATAACAAGGTATTTCAAAAATCAAGTCCTTTTGTTCAGTAAAAATATTGACTCTACTACACTGAGAAAACCTATAACACTTCAGATTGGTTTTAAGAAATCGATCTATTATATAACAAACCAAGTTAAGACCATTAAGTTTCTCAGATTATTATCAAGAACAAACTAGAAAAGCATGCATCAAAACGAGCCGATAACAAAACACAGATGAACGAAAATGAAATCAAGAGCACTGATGAAAACGAATACAAATCTAAGATCTACGGAGTAAAGAGAGCAATATACGAGAGTGGCGAGGAAAAATACCACAGATCTGAAGCTCAAACGCTAGGTTCAGGCAGAGCGGCAGAGGCAGTGAGAAAGAGAAGGCAGGGTTTGAGAGGCGCTACGTGACTTATTTATAGGCTGAGAGAATCGGGGAAATACCTAGGGTTTGCTTTGAGAGACCTAATGCCTGCCGTTTTGTTGGTTTACTACGCTGCCCCTGAGTCGTGCCCAAAATGACGAGTTTGCCATCATGGATTGCTGATCAAGTAAGAAGTCAACGTGAATATGGGAATTTTCTTTTTCTTTTTCTTTTTCTTTTTCCTTAATATTTGGCCGGTTTTGGTTTAGTGCTAATCAATAATGGTGCTTAGAAAATTGTCAGAAATGGCCAAACTGGCGAATCCCGCTTTTGTAGGGCAATTACGAGTCGGATCCCCACTTTCAATTTCGTCTCAAATCGAAATTTTGATCGTTTAATTTCCTTTAAACTAAAACTCTGAGTCCACTAAGACTTTACAAATAAAAGATTCGAAGAGATTCACCCAATAAATAACGAATAATACTTCGGTCTCATCTTTACATCTACTAATAGTGTTACGTATGACATTTTTTTTAAAGCATTTATGTGTGTGGTTGGTTGATGAAAATAAAAGTAAAAGAAGATTGGATGTTTGGTTGCATGTGTAAAGATTTTTTTATTTTTTTATTTTTGGTTACAACATGTGTAAAGAATTTTTGTTATAAAGGCTCAAGGGCTTTTTTTGGCTCCTTTAAATTGAAACTAATGGCAAAGGATAGATTAGTATAGTGATTTAGAGTAAGTGCTCTCTCAAGTTTATGGGTTCAAGTCCTCTAGCATCCATTAGTATGTGTGAATTTAGTATATTATCATCTATCTCTCAATAGAAAAGGTCCTTAAAAAAATTAATGTGGTTAAATTTTAACAAAATTGGCAAAATTCCAATGAAAATGACTAAAATATTTATAACAAATTAATAATAAGTGTGAAACCCATATTGGTTGCATCTATCCAAAAAAAAAGAGCCAAGCTTTTCCAAAGGCTAAGTTACATTTTGGGCTCTGTGATTTGGGGCCTTAACAAATTTATTTTTTTCAATCACTTTTAAATATGGGCAAACACAACCTTAAAATTAATATCCTTATATTATAGGCTAATTTGTTCATTAAAATATCAAACTAATTGACAATTTATATTTTGACATTATGGTGCAAAGTAGGAGTGGATACAGTCTGGATTGGATCAGTTTCATTTCAAAATCACGATTGAACCAATTACAATATAATGATTTAGTTTGGTGCGGTTTTGACCAAAATTATGAAGTAAACCAAACCAAGCCAAACCAATTGTTGAGGCCCAAAAAATCCAAGGGTATGCTCAAATATATTTCTAGCCCAGTACGACACCTAACTTGAGAAGAAACCCAACTTGGGTACGTAAGAGTTCATCATATGCGCTTGCACATGTGTCACGCCAAGCAAATAAGCAACACGTCACGCTACAAACTTAAATGGGCCCAAGCCACGTTAATGCATGGGGCTTGCTGAGCGGGTTGTGGTATGGATGGTTACGAATTTTCATGAGGCTCATTGATGAGCCGAGAAATTGAAGTTTTGGGCTGCTTGAGAGCCCCAAAACTCAAGCCCATTTCTTGAGCCCAAATATGTGGGTAAGCATGAAAGAGAGAAAATGGTAGCCCATTACCCTAGAAAATTGGCCAACAAATATGTGGGTAAGCATGAAAGAGAGAAAATGGTAACCCATTACCCTAGAAAATTGGCCAATCACCTTAATAAAAATAGTCCATTGGCCCATCCCCTTAGTGAACTAGCACATTACCTTAAAGAATGGCCCAAGCGACCAACAAAATATATGAAAGTCTCTAGTACATGGCTAGAGACAAAACCACGACAAAAGCCAAAGCCACTCACGTCTGTAGGCTGCTGGGAATCTCCAGCACATGGCCAAAGACGAATCCCAACACAAGACATCCAAAAACCAAAGGATACTTGAGCAAAACACCATTTAGACCATCGTCATTACCCACTCATTTCTCCTATCAGCTCTTGCCATGAAATAAGGGAGGAAAGAAGGAACGATGGTAGCCAAAGATAGGAGATTGCCACAGGGACAGCTGCAGGAAGACTCTAGAGCTCCCAAAAATCTTGTCTCTGTATTTGGATTTAGGGAGATTTCATAAAAAGAGGTTGAATCGAAGGAAGATAAGAGAAATTGAGGAGAAGACTTGGCTGAAATTAGAGATAACCCATTAGGGTTTTTTGGGAAGAATGAGCTTCCAGCGCCTATAAAAGGAGGCACTTTCTACCCAACAAGACAACTCATCGAAGGCAAGCAACCATATCCAGAGAAAGCAAGCATCACCTCTCATCTCTATAACCCTTTGATTTCAAGTCATGTTCTTCCATTGCTTCCCTTTTTTCTCTTTTGTCAAGCCACCTAGAAGCCTGATAAAGCTTTCGTCAAGCTGCTGGAATCTGTTAAAGCCACCCATGCTTCCATCTTCTTCCTATCTTTCCAATAAACACACATCCAGAGAGCAAACTTCATCTCTCATTCTTAAAACCTCTGCAATTTCGAGCCCTATTCCTCTATCTTCTCTCATTTTCTCATATGGTAAATCGTTTTAGAGCTTGACAGAGCTTTCGTCAAGCTACTAGAAACTACTCAACACATCCATTGTTATTCCCCCATCTCTCTCTTCTCAACGAACTCTTTTAGAATTCATTCCCCCTTACCTTAAAACCTCTGTTTCTCATAGGAAATCGTAGCTCTTTCTCTCTCTCTCTTTCTTATGCTAAACTCATGAATGCTAAGCTCTCATGCCACAAGCTTCTCATGCCAAGCCAAGAATTTATCTGTAAGCGACAGTTGGTTTCATTGGTGAAGAAGACCAAGGTGTTTCCTAAGGCTCAGCTACCCTTTCGAAACACTCTTATGGTCTGATCATTGAACTCAAATTCAGGGGGCAATTTCATACATTTGGCTCCTTACAACAGCTCAAACCCATTAGTAGCTGCCGGAATGAAAAAGCCCACACACCAATTAAATACGGTTTAGTTTGATTTGGTTTAATTCGGCTGGCTTGGGCTTAAGCCTAATTCTATTTCCTTTTGCATTGTTTCAACATTGTTAGCCTAATTACAATAATTAAAAAAATTCACAACTTGCACTATACTTTTTTAATTTTCTAGAGTATTAAACAATCCTAAAACTCGACATGCCATAAAACTTCTGTTGAGGCCCAAAAAATCCACGGTTTGCCCCAAATAAATCCTTGGCCCAATACAATACCTTATCGAGAAGAAACCCGATTTGGGCACTCGAAAGTTCGTCATATGCCCTTGCACACATGTCACGCCAAGTGAATAAACAACACGTCATGCTACAAGCTTAAGTGGGCCCAAGCCACACAAGATGTCTAGGGCTTGCTGAGTAGGTTGTGGTATGGATGGTTACGAGTTTTCATGAGGCCCATTGATGAGCCGAGAAATGGAAGTTTTGGGCTACTTGGGAACCCCAAAACTCAAGCCCATTTCTTGAGCCCAAATATGTGGGTAAGCATAAAGGAGAGAAAATAGCTAATTACCTTAGAAAAGATAGCCCATCACTTTGGGAAGTTGGCCCATCCATTTATTGAACTAGCCCATTACCTTAAAGGATGGCCCAATTAACCAACAAAATATCTGAAAATCTCCGGCACATGGCTGGAGACAAAACCATGACAAAAAGCCAAAAGCTACTCACATCTGTAGGCTGCTAAAATCTCCAGCACATGGGAGGGAACAAATTTCAAGCAAAAACATCCAAAACCCAAGGGATACTTGAGCAAAACACCCTTCAAACCAATGTACATACCTATTTCTTTCCCTCATTAGACCTAGCTTCGGAAGAAGGGAGAAAAGAATGACGAAAGATGGTTGAAAATAGAAGTTCTCCACTGAGACACTGCGGGAAAGGGCCTTGAGCACCCAAAAATCCCTGATTTTGTGCAAATGGGCAGAGTGGATTTCACCAAAATAGGATGATTAAAGGGACGAGGGGAGAAAGAAAGGGAAATACTTGGCTAAATCGGATAGAAACCATTAGGGTTTCTTGGAAAATGATAGCTTCCAGCGCCTATAAAAAGAGGCATTTCCTACCTATCATAACAACACACATCTAGATAGCAGTCTTCATCTCTCATCTCTGAAACTCTGCAATTTCGTGCTCAATTCATCTTTCTCCTCCTTAGTTTTCCCTCTTGGCAGGCTGTTCTAACAATTAACAAAGCCTCTGTCAAGTTGCCCGAAAAACATCCATTGCCTTCATTTCTCTCTCTATCTCTATTCTCAACGAATCCTTTTAGAATCCCTTCCCCCATGCCTTAAAAACTCTGTTTCTCATAGGAAATCGCAGCCATTTCTCTATCTCATGCTAAACTCATGAATACTTAGCTCCCATACCACAAGATTCTCATGCCAAGCTAGAAAATTTATCTGTAAGCTGTTGTTATTTTTGTTGGTGAAGGTAACCAATGAGTTTCCTAAGGCTTCGCTATCTTTTCGAAGCATTCTTGGGGCTTGATCTTCAAACTCAGGCTTAAGGGGCAATTTCATCCATTTTGTTATTTACGGCAGCCCAGACCTGTAGTAGCTGCTGGAAGAAAAAAAACCCCTACAACTTCAAATTTCAATAACTAATATAGCTACAATTCAAATATCTATATATATAGTTACTACACATGTAAAATAAAAATAAAAATAAATGAATATACATGTAGGCAATCCAATTTATTTTAGGCCGATTATACAAACTCAAAATGAACAAAACCAAACCATATAGGCCCGATTTGGTTTTTAAACCGTTTGACTTTTTCTTCATTAAAACCAAACTAAACCAGTCATTATTGTTTGGATCGGCTGATTTCATTGGTTCAACAGAATTGATGCCCACTCCTAGTACAAAGTGTAACTGACCTTAGAATAAATGACATATGTGGTAATACTATTGAATTGCGTGAAGTGTTAAGGATAGTTTAAAATAACTAGTTCATGAATAAATGTTTATTTTGGTGACAATTTCAACTTTTACGTAGGAATTTAGATTCAAATATCATTTATTATATGTAAATTTGCTAATATATGAATTAGGCTAAGTGATCAAGGTAGTGTGCTTGGCTCCTTGCAGTCACAGTCCAAAAATTCGATAATTTCGCCGAAATATCGGCGAAATTATAGTTTTTTTGGGGTTCCGAAATTTTAGCACAATTCCAATTATATATCGTGATTTTTTCGATATTTTCGTCGATAATTTCGAGGATATTTCGGGGAAGATATTTTCGTTCAAATGGCAGCTGCAAATGGTCAACATATCGCGATATTATCGATAATATTGCGATATGAACTTTCAAAAATGAAGTAATTAGCTTGAACGTCGCACACAGGGTTTCATTTAATCATGAACAAGAAATTTCAGAACACTCAGATCCCTCAAGAAGTAAAACAACCCCCATATCCATACAAAATGAAAGAAACAGAAAAGCAGAGAGTGTAGCAGAGAAAATGCTCACCAGATCGTCCTCGAAGCTCAGGGTTTTTGGGGTTTGTGGGTTTCAGATCTAAGAGAGTGAGTGGCGTAGTTTGTGTCTTCCTCGGTGCAATCTCTGAGAGTGAGAGAGTGATGGAAGCTACCACAAGACAGAGAAGGAAAAGATTAAAAACAGTTTGCAGATGAAATGGACAAAGGTGGGGCCCTTATATACCATAATCTAATTGTCCCGAAAATGCCCATTCTGCAATGCCCTGGGTTTTGGTGATTAATTATGATTTTGACACTGTAGGATAGTTATTAGAGGTAGTTGCTTCCAGTGAACAAAAATGAAGTAATTCGCTTGAACATCGCACACAGGGGTTCGAACCCCTCCCCACTTTGTGATTATTATCTATCGAATTTGGTATTTATAACTTTTCCAAGGTTTCTTAAAATATAAAATAATTACTTATTGTTCTATATTGTTGATCAAATATTTAATTACTTAATATAATTTTTTTTCTTTCCTATTTAATCCATTTAATGTTATTGCTTATTTTATTATTCATTATAAGTACTTACATTACTAAATTCCCTTTCAAATTGTTGCTTAATTACTTAAATCTCTATAATCATTTTCTTTATTTCCTATTTAATTCTTCTTTGGATAACTTTATTTATGTTCTTAGTTAATTTTCAATCTTCACTATTATTTTTTAAGCATGGTAAAGTGCTTAATTTTCATGAAAATCAAGTTGGTTTACATCTTTTATTATTTTTCAATTTTTGATAAATAATAAATATAAGAACATGTACCATGTCATGATGTCCAGTGAATAACGTGAAATAAAGTTACTCATGTATCTTACCATGCAACTTATAAAGTGTAAAATATTGTAGTAAAAATGATAAATAAATTACTAGAGGGTGTTTAATTTTTTGTCATTAATTATTCTAGATTTTCTAAGTCACAAAGTTTGTCAGCTCGCAATATAATCAACTTAAATCACTCAAACATGCTATGCAATGCATTTCCTTCCAATCTTTTGTGTTAAAATAATAGATGATTGACTAAATAAACTTTTTACAAAGTTTCATTAAAAATTTCCATGTATTTATCACAATTTCCGTGGTTTTTATCCAATTTTTATCGATATTGATATTTTCCCGATATTTCCATGTTTTTGAACCATCGATATTTCTGAAACCCTCGATATTTAAGACATTGCTTGCGGTTGAGTTCAATATGCCTCCCTTGAACTAATTTGATCACTTTTTCACTATAGTGCTACCTCATACATATAACCCTCGTATTTTAAAAAATAATAATTAATGGGCTATGAGTGATAAGAAACCATAAAATATTTTGAGAGCAACCACGGGCCAACCCACCTGCACTGCACCATGCTTTTGGGTCGAGCAGCCCACCTGTGAATGCACTTTCTCTTTAATAAAGAAAAAGTTAGAAAAAAGAAAAGAAACAAGTTATAAAAAAAAGAAAAAAAATACAAAAGGAAAGAAAAAGGAAAAAAAGAGAGGAAAACTTCAGGGAGTGCCAGACTCCTGATTTCCACCGAGTAGGTGCAACAGAGACAATCTCGATAGCTTTCATCAATGGCGGGCGTATCTCTGAAGTGCGGGGACTGTGGGGCTCTCCTGAAGTCCGTGGAGGAAGCCCAAGAGCATGCCGAGCTTACCTCCCACTCCAACTTCTCTGAGTCAACCGAAGCTGTTCTCAACCTCGTCTGTTCTTCTTGCGGCAAACCATGCCGATCCAAAACCGTATAGTCCCTACTCTTTCTTTCTCTCTTGAAATTCAATTGTTTTACTCTTTACTCTGAATTTGCTCATCTGGGTCAGTAGGATTTCAGTTTAATTTTCATATACATTAGTTGGAATTCAGTATCTTTGTTTCTTAGTAAATTTTGAAACTTTTGGTTGTTCTGTTTTCCATTATTTTCAAGTATACTGAACTTAATGACCAGCAATGTTTTTTTAATTTATCAAAGGTACTTAGGTGTATCCAAAACGGGATTGATCCTCACATTATCTATTATATACTGTCATATTGGAAATTTTGGTCTCCTTATTAGATTGTTTTTTTCTGGGTTGTTGATTCAAATTCAGTTTCATGTGGATTAAATTAAATATTTTTTGGTTATTCGAGCTCAGAGAGTGAGGAATGTGGCAGCAAGCTGAACTCAATGAGTAATTATCGCATGTGTTTATATTTAGAAGATTGAAGATTAGACTATTATTTTCTTGGCAATAGAGAAAACTCGTTTTGATGATTTTTTGGTGCTTGGATATGTTTGATCATAAAGGAAAGTGATTTGCATACCAAAAGAACGGGGCATACTGAGTTTGTTGATAAGACTGCGGATACAGTAAAGCCAATAAGTTTGGAGGTTCCAAAGGTGACAGCTTCAGAGTCCGAAGAGGCTGTTGGTGCAAGTAGCCAGGCAGAAGGTACTTCTTCCGGTTGAGTGTTTTGTATATCTTGAGGTTGTGTTCAGTGAAAGCATGAAATTTGATCTTATATATTTGGAAAGCTTTTTAGTGCAAATAGGTTGGATAGGTTGGATTTTTACAGTTTTTGGGTAGATGCCATATTCTGTATGAATTTACCGAATCTGTGCAACAATATGATGCATAACTAGAGTTTATGTTGGTGTTGGATGTTGTGATCCTGGTTCTTCTTCTTTCCTTGTTCTTTTTTTTTTTTTTTTTTTTTTTTTTTTTTTTTTTTTGCCTTCCTGCTGTTGGAAATCAGTTTTATTTGAAGGGCTTTGGTTTTTTTTTGGAGCATTAATCTTGTACCTCTGTGTATCCATGTTCTATTCAAATTAAGTCTGAATATATACTATGATAACTTTAGAGATGTGCATAATTCTTCCCCCAATGCATGGATTTGCACAGAAGTGCATAAAGTAATATGATTGCATATACTTGTTCTCATCGTTGTTTTGTTAATGGTCATTATTTCTATAAACAAAGATTAATGGTCTTTCTTAGAATTCTTCACTAAGAAGGCTGTCGGCAGTCAGTGCTTCTGCTTGTTCAGGTCTAGATTAGAAATCATGGTTGTAGATGAACATGGAAGATGCACTTTAACTTTTCAAATTAATTCCGAAGTCAGGCTTTACAATCTGTTTATTTATGATAGGAAACATACTGCCATTGGCTGGTTTTTTCTTTATGGTTAGTCATTTCTGTTACTCTTGTTTATTGACTCGATGATTACCTGATCAATGTTTCTTCATCTAGAAATGGTTGTTCCAGAGGTTGACAAAAAGCTGCTTGAGGAACTCGAAGGAATGGGATTCTCAACAGCGCGGGCAACCCGTGCACTTCACTATTCTGGTGAGCTCATGAAAAAAAAATTGTATATTTATGAAATGATATTGAAGCTTCTTACCTTTGGCTTGCTTTTAGTGGTTTTGTTTATGTTTTACCCCATCTTTTGTTCCCATCAGAAAAATGATGGATGCTAATAATTATTAGGAGACTTGTGATTTCTATTAGTTGAAGTACTGCATGATTAGGACTCAGGTTCATTTGTTTATAGTTTTGGGGCCTGTTCTTCTTGTAGCTACCATTTGAGATAGAGCCTAGATACAGCCTGCACAGTGGAAAGCATTAGAAGAACTAGAATTCATAAAAGTTGAGCGAGTGCATACCCTGCTGTGCTTATTAAATTTATTGGATTTCACAGATTATGAAATTCTTAGGATTCAGCTATTTCTGCTAAAACCAGTGAGCTCTGTTCTATATTTAATGGTTTCTAGGGTTGTAAGCTTGTGAATTTTTTCATTTTGAAACTGTTCCACATAATTGAAAATTTGTGACCTGACAATATTAATTCTCTCAGCTCATAATATCTTTTTTTCCCAGGTAATGCAAGCCTGGAGGCTGCAGTCAATTGGGTGGTTGAACATGAGAATGATCCAGACATAGATCAAATGCCTTCAGTATGATACCTTCATTTTGATCCTTGATATGAATCATGTGCATCTCCTCTCTCTCTCTCTCTCTCTCTCTCTCTCTCTCTCTCTCTCTCTCTCTCTCTCTCTCACACACACACACACACACACACACACACTCACTCACTCAATGCAAACACTTCGCGGCAGAAATGGTTGGGGCAGAAAAGGTTGGATGGACTGGTTATCTACTTGCATATCTATTGTATGATGATGTTAATGATATACCACTGGTTGAGAAAATATCACACACTCAATGCAAACACTTTGCGGCAGAAAAGGTTGGATAGACTGGTTATGTACTTGCGTATATATTCTATGATGATATTAATGATATACTACTGGTTGAGAAAGTATCTTCCAAAAAATGTATCTCGATTAGGGAAGATAGGAGGAGGTTTGACATCCTAGTGATGACTATTAGTAGAAATCAAGTTTTATAAATTTATCTATTGGAAACTGAACAATTTTTTTTAGTGGATGATGTTGGTGTTGGAAATTTCTAGGGCATTATTTTTCTTTAAGAAAAGTCCATGATTTTTTTTATATTTGTTTATTTAATTGTAAATCTTACTAATGCAACTTTTATTTGCCTTATTCCAAAAATAAAAGGAGACCAGACTCCTTGACAATTAGCGGCTACCTCCCTATAAGTTTGCTCTCAAGATTATACAAAGTGCATGCTAAAGTGTTGGCCTTGAAATTGAGAGAGGTTTCTTAAGTAGTCTATCAGTGGTGCGAAGCGGCTTTGCCCCCTTTCAATCGGGGGGCGAAAGGTTAGACCTTAGAAAGTCAGGGAACAGCGGTTTGGGAAACAACTTCTCAATCCCAAGGTGCTTTAGTGAATGAGAGGCAAAGTTTAGACATACTTTTGGCTGGTTATGAGGTTGTGCAGGGCTGGATATAGAAAGAAGGGGAAGGAGGAAGGGTTGGTTATTAAGGTTGACTATAAGAAGGCTTATGATTGAGGTGATTAGGGATTCCTAAACTCGATGATGGAGGTTAGAGGTTTTGGTGAGAGATTGTTCTTAGGGACAGTTTGTGTTTGTTAAACTTAAGACTTATGTTTTTGCTTGACATTGTAATGTCTTCTCAGTTACTGGGTTTCAGAATTTGGTGAATAGTTTAGCTTTTTATTGTTTGTTGTTGCTTTAGAAAAAGATAAAGAGAGAGAACTTCAGAAATATGTAAAACTTGCCTGCTTATTTGTGCTCAGGTACCAGTCAACACCAAAGTTGAGGCTCCAAAACCTTCTCTCACGCCAGAGCAATTGAAAGCCAAGCAACAAGAGCTTAGGTTGTGCTTTTTATTCATTCTCAGTGTCACTGATTAGATCATCTTGATCATACCAAAAAAATGAGATAATCTTGATATCAAAGTTATTGCAGATTCTAGTTTCTGCTTGTCATAATAAATCTCATTCTTTTTATTGGATGCTGTAGCTCCCAATTTTGTTTGTTGAAGCTGATAGGTATTAGCATGTGTAAGGTTTATAATTTTAGATTGAAGCTCCCTTTTCCTTCTTTCATTTATAATTGAGAGCAAACTAATCACTTCAAAAGTCTTTCTTCCCTAGTATGGAAATTGGACTCTGCAATTAACCTTTAAAAGTTAATTACTGGTTATTCAACCTTTCCATTGAACTGGTAGGAATACTCATGCTTGGGCATATGCTTCATCCTTTTACTTGAATTTATCATGTAGGTATCCTTGTATGGACTTTGCTTGTAACTTCCTTTGACAACATGGATTTGGGCCATACTCATGTTTTAAAATTTCTTTAGACTTGCTTAATGCTTCTCACTATTTTATTCGATTGCCTTGTAAACTTCTTTTCAACCATCCTTTAAGGGAGAAAGCTCGCAAGAAGAAAGAAGAAGAGGAGAAGAGAACGGAAAAAGAAAGAGAAAAGGTACTTCTGAATGTCTTCCCTCATATCTTTACTTGCATTACAAAAGTAACCTTTTCCAGCTATTATGTGTATGTAAGTGCATGCCTGGTAGTCTTATTGTGAAAAAGTTACATCCCAATATTGGACATGCCTTCTGACAAAAAACAAAAAAAAACAAAACATAAAGAAGGAAAAGAAGCAGAAAATCTTGGACATGCCTTTCCTTTTCATCATCATGTATTGTTTGTTCATGTGTGTCTGTATGAAATCTTTAATACAATTAATTGAAAATTCAGCTCTTTTATAATATTGCTTATTATTTTTTAATACTTGATAGTTTATGTTCTCAATAAAAGATTTGCTTCTTGAATCAATCCTTTTTTTGTTTGCTGGTTCAGTTCAAGGAGAAATATGTTTAATTTTTTTAGTTATCTGGATATATATGTTGAAGAATTCTGGTTGGATTCATTTATGTTAGGAAGTTATTAAGAACCTACAAAAGCCTGCGCTCTGTGTACAATATGTAGTACTTCAGTTTATCTCAATTTTCAAATCTACGTTCTTTGATCAAATGTGGATGATATGTTTCTTTGTATTTTTATGAATTTTTTTTTTCAGGAGAGGATTCGAGTAGGCAAGGAACTCTTAGAAGCGAAGAGAATGGAAGAAGAAAATGAAAGAAAACGGTTTATCTTCATCTAGTGATCTTTTGTGTTTGTTTTCCAATCTACCATTATACGACATCAATGCCCTTTTTCCTCACATTACTTGGATTCATCTTCCACTGGGATGGAAATGTGATTCTTTCTTATAGGATTATAGCCTTGCGAAAAGCGGAAAAAGAAGAAGAGAAAAGAGCTAGGGAAAAGATTCGTCAAAAATTGGAGGAAGATAAGGTAAAGATATTCAGAGCCACTTTGTTTAATCCTGTATAAACTAATTAAGACTAAGTTCTTGGCCTTACAAGCAATTTGTTAAGTTTTTGTTCGTTATCATTTGTCTAAAGCTTTCCACTTGGAGACAGTTAAACTCACACCTAAATTATGTCTTTTTCTTTAATCAAGTCTGTGAAGCATTATTAGCAGAGGAAGCCTTTAATCGAGTTTAATGGACAAAAAAGAAATAGTGAAGGCAAACCTTGTTCAAATTCTTGATTGCCAATTAGTTGAGAAAAGTAGGAGTAGTTTATTTTAGGAGCCATTTGGTAGCGGAATGAGTTCTTCAGGAATGAAAGTTCCTTTGTTCATTCCTTGGAGATGGAAGTGAAAAAATATCTCATTCCACTGTTTGAAAATGCTGGGAAGTGATAACCAGGATATACCTGTTATTTCCATTCCCATTAGTTTTTGTAGGTAGTGATGAAAATAAAAAATTTGTTCAGTTTTTCACTAATACCCTTAATATATATAAAAAATGCCAAGATTTTTTATGGAAAACAAAAGGTGGTATTTTAATTTATAATGTGGTTGGTTTAGTCATCAAGAGTACAATAAATATATTCCCAAGGCATGGAAATTGCATACCCCAGGGGGTCCAAGGGTTTGATTCCATCCTTCATGGGTGTGCAATTCCTATGTAACATGCATCACATTCCCTGGGACTTGTTTACCATATTTGGAATAACGTACCCATTCCCAAACTTCTAATTCACGAAACCTAACAGGCCCTAAAGTATGTAAAATTATTAGACCCATATAAGGCTTGACATAAATTTGAACTTTTGATCTATCTTGTAGGGCATATGGAGTCTGGATTATTTCATCTGAGTTTGTGTTATAAATGCAATGACCTTAGGGTTTCTGTAGTCTAGTAAAGCTAAGGCACTGTGCACTATCAACAGCTAGTCTAAGTTTTTTGTTTCCTTTCATATTTTGAACTTTCTATGTTGTAGGAGGGTTAACTAGTGTGGATCCGGTCTGTATTTAGATTAGTATAAAGAAGATATCCACCTCCCTCTCAACCCTCTTTTTAAAGTGAATGGAAAGCACTTGCAAGTAACCTGTCTTAAATGTTCTCTGGGAAAATTTACTTGTTAATTACATGACTTGACAACTAGGATCGACAAGTAAGTTAGTAGATATAGTACCATGACTTTTCTTTTAGTTTGCTGAAGTTGTTTCGAGTTCTCACTCTTTATTCCTGTGTACATCTTGTCCATTGTTTTGTACTGCTATCTCTTCTTATTGAAATTTGTTTCCTATAAAAGAAGGATAAAGGAAAAAAAATATAATACACACCTAAAAGTACCTCATTATGCTGTTTTAGAACTTGCTTCCCCCTTTTATCAGTTTGTTGTAGCTGTTTCTTTATTTTTTTAATAATAATAAATCAGTTTTCTTTTTCCTTATCTGTTTGTACAGGCGGAAAGGAGGAGGAGACTTGGTTTGCCACCAGAAGATCCTTCAACTGCAAAACCTGCTGCACCTGTTGTGGAAGAGAAAAAGGCATGAGCTTGTTTGAATATATTATTTACCTGTAATGCCATTCAGAAATTGTTGAAACCTGTACTGATGCACCTCTGTTGTATTAATGGTATCTGACGTACAGAGCTCATTGCCCATAAGGCCTGCTACAAAAGCAGAGCAAATGAGAGAATGTTTGCGATCTCTCAAGCAGAATCACAAGGTAAAAACTGTATCTGTGATGTTAATAATTCATTAAAAACAAGAAAATAAAATTTCAACTTCTTGATATTGAGGGCGTTTCTGTAGAACCACATACAGGTCTGGTACAAGAGTTCAAAAATTAAGTTTTCCTTTCAAGGGGTTCATGATTCTCCTTAGTTTCAAGTGCTCATTTTTGTATTTTTAATGTCACTCATACTTACACTGTTAAGCCATGACCCTGGATACCAGCCATAGTTACTTTTTTTAAAATAAGAAGGAAAAAAAGATATGTGGAATGCTTTTTCTTGAAAAGAAACTGCTCTCACTTTTGATCTGTTCAACGTTTTGTTGTATGGATTGTGGGCAATGGCCTTATTTTCTCTTTCTGTGCGTAGGAGGACGATGCCAATGTGAAGAGAGCATTCCAGACTCTTTTAACTTTTGTAGGGAATGTTGCCAGAAATCCCGATGAGGAGAAATATAGAAAAATAAGACTCACTAACCAATCTTTCCAGGTAGAACAACTTATCATGCACAGAAAACAGCCATCTGCTGAGAAATCATTTCCTGTTATATGATTTTATACTCGTTACAAGGTGTTTCGGTTGGACTCAGATGTTAATGGTTTAATGTTGCATAGACTGTACCCCATTATTGAGCTATATTCTTTTAATGTCCATGTTTCTTGTTTGTTGACATAACTCCTTGTTTGTTTTCTTTGTTATCAATCACTCATTGCGTTAACAGGATAGGGTTGGTTCGTTCAAAGGAGGTATTGAGTTCTTGAGTTGTGCGAGTTTGAGAGGGTAGAAGGGAGCGAGTTCTTGTTTCTTCCTAGGGACAAGGTTGACGTGGCAGTGCTGAATTCAGCTGGGTCTGAGCTAGACTCGGCAATAAAGAATCCCTTTTTCGGTGTTCTTTAAGTTCAAAGATGTTTCATTATATATACAGTTTTTCTTTTACGGATTTGGTGAGGTGAAATTGATGCTTTGTGGTTGTTTATTACATTACTACACCGATTTGGCCATTATTAATATATGGTTATGAATTAAGGGATCTTTACTGCCAATTTCATTTAAGATAAACTTGGATCAAGAAGGAACACCTCAAAGCAAGGGGTGTCGATTTTCACACTTCATATTTTGTTATACTACCATGCTTTATATGCCTTGAAGTATTTTGTGCTGAAATTCCCTGTATAAGGGATAGGATATGTGGGTTTGTAGTACCTCTGTAACTTGTTTTTGAGGAGAAGACATTATTAGTCTTTTTGAGGTTTATACTTTTTGTCATTGAATCATGCACAGGGTTATGTTTACCACTCCCTCCCATTTCGATTTTGTATTTGAGGATTTTCTTCCAAAGTTTATTTGTGTTTGATTCACAAGTACCAATTAAAGTTAACTTATTCTGAAGCAAATCAAGCCATTCATGTTGAAACCATTTGTGAAAAAAAGTAGTTCTCTTTTTAAAAATAAAATAAATTAAAATCATGTCATACGAAATAAAATTGTGTTGTATTGAATATTCATAAAACATTTTTAAAAAAACAGAAAGGAAAAAAAAAAGGCTTTAAAATATACCTAATTCTCGGTGGGCGGTCGAATTCGAGGAATAAGTTATTAGTTTTTTTATATTGAATATATAGACGTTCTCATATTGTCCAGCCCAAGGTACGGTAGAACAGCCCAATACTCATATTGGTCGTGTATGTATGTGCATAACAGCGTCGCCCACTACTCAATTCAATTCTCATCACACACTCTCTCTCTCTCTCTCTCTCACTTCAATTCAACTTTCGGGCGACCCAAAAAAATAAAGAAAGAAGGAATTAAGATTCTTGGCTCAACTTTCTTCTTCCTTCAAACTAAAACCTGGTTCAGTTCTTCTTCTTCCGGGTAATTTTAATCTTTAATCTAGGGTTTTAGAAATTTCTTATCAGTTTTCGTTTTAAATTCTGCCCCTTTCTCTTCAATTAGTCCTTTACTTGGTTTTCAAGTTAAATAGTCTTCTTCTCCTAATCTGATGTTGCTTTACCTCATTACGTGTTTGCAGATCATACTCATTGAATTTGTCTGAGGCTGCGGGAATGATGTTTGGGTATTTAGGTATTTGTGCAGAGAAGCTTTGTCTATTTTGCGCAAGAGTACGAGCATTCATTCCACCGTTTTTGTCTTCTCTCTTTTCTTGGAACTCCAATGGCCAAAAATACCTAACCCACCTTCAGAAGCTTGACCAGGTATGATTTTTATACCACGATAATCTATCACTGTCAGGGTACAAATGAAAAAATCTATATATTCTTTATTTTTTACTCATTAAATTTGTTGGATTTCTCAGTTCATCCTGTTCTTAAAAGTTTACTGAAAATATTGATTACATCATGGTGGTTTTAGATTGCAAGATTGAAAATGAATATAATGAAGGAAAAAAAAATTTTAATTTGAGGTTGGGAGTTGAGACTAGATTGGCTGTGTTGAATTTCCTTGTGCTGTCCTTGGTATGCATTTTGGTTATGTATTATACATTATATATGAATAAGCCGTATTTCTGGATTTCGTTTCTTGTAGATTGATCAACCAAGATGGGAGGGCTTACCTCTGGACTGTTTGGTGAATGTGTTTGGAAGAGTTGGTATGAGGTCGTTGCTCTTAAATGTTCCTTTTGTGTGCAAGACATGGCACAGGGCGAGCCTCGACCCTTCATGCTGGCAACGTCTCATTTTTATTGACACTGAAACTGAGATGGACCTTGAAACTCGTCAATTTTGGTGTTGTGATAATGAAATTGAAGCTGATATTGACATTGAATTGATCGTCGCTGTTTTGAGGCATTGATGAATAGATTTGCATGTCAATATCGAATGGATGATAGTTCTTTTTCTGACACTGGATTTATAAAGTTCGTAGTCAATCGTAGCAGAGAACATGCAACTTTCCTGAGGCTTCCTGGAGTCTGTCCAGAAGCTGCAATGAAATATGTTGGGGATGTGTAAGTTTTCTCCAAATCATTCCAATGTATTTTGATGTCTATAGATAGAGAGAAAAGAGTGACTCTTTGGTTAAGCCATATTTTTCTATGACATGCACTTTGACATTAAAACCATTTTATAGTAACCTGAAATATGAGTCTTGGTGAACATTTATTTGCAGGTGTCATGGACTCAAGGGTTTGTCTTTGCCTAGACGTTTACTGCTTTGTTCACCAAGCATCGTTGCAGAACTGATTGGTAAGTGCAAACATTTGGAGTTATTGTCTGTTGGGGGCAGCCATAATTTCGAGGAGATCCTTTTACAGTTCAGCATGGGCTGTTGCAAGAGGTTTCTCAACATGGATGTGCCAGCTGCTTTAAGGAATAGGGAAGGGAATAGGAATGTTCCTGATATTATTCCAAATGTTAGCTTCTTATGCAGCTACAATTTTGAGGAAATCTTTTCACAGATCCGCATTCACTGCAAGAATTTTTGTGGTTTAAATGTGTCGGGTGCTTTACTTAGAAGAGAAGATGTGTTGGCAATTGTCAACTTGCTTCCTCATATTAAATACTTAATATTGAGGAAGTCATTCATTGATCGGGATGATCTTGCCACGTTACTTCAAGGCTGCGAAGAACTTGTGCTTTTGGATGCAAGGAATTGCTGTGGTTTTGATGAAGGTGATGTTGAAATATCAGTGCTTGCTTCTCATATTGGTAAATTCAGCTGTGAGGGTTCTAGATATGTTGACCCTCTTCTGTGGTTGCGTAGTCACAAATATATTTAGACATTGATATGAGTGCTTTTCAAGCAAAGCATACCCTTATTAGCTTAGGTGTTTCTTGTCCAGTTCTTTCTTAATGGGGTTCGATATTTTGAATGCTCTTTCCATGACACCGAAGTGATTGATGGTTGAGATTGAGACTTGTTTCTGTCGGGTAGTGACAGTTGAGAATTGTAAATTCAGTTTGTTGGTAGGTTTGGAGGGTTTATGTAATAGGCTACAGACTTGAACCTTGGGTTGTGTAATTGTCTAATATAGTAGATACTATTGTCTGATGATCTCTTCTTCTATTTTATTTTTAGAAATGTAGCTAAAATTGTATTGAAGTTTATGCTCCTGGATAGTTAAGTCCCTTTGTCTGCAAGTCATGGTTGAGTTTTGTTGTTGTTGATAAAAGCTTGGGGGAGGTGAAAATCGTAGCACCTTAGCCCACTTGAGCTATAAACTCCTTGCAAGTCAGCATGCCTTTAGTGTTATATTTATATTTATTTTAGTTTGTAAATTTCTACAACACAAACTGAGCAGTGAGTACCTTAAGAAATTAAAATCATTTCACCTGCTTACAAGTTACATGCCTCTACACCCCTCATGATGGGCTCTGCCACCATTAGAAAAGAACTAGCAAAGACAAGATGAAGCCAGGCAACAAATAAGGGTCTCCATCTATATCATCCCATGATCTCTTCAAACCAGCCTACTTACCATGACCCAGGGCAGTTAATCAGCTTCACAAATCCTGGAAGTGCTTGCACACGATCTGCTGAGAAGGCTGCAATAAACTCCTCTAAGCTACTCAGTAAGGACTTCAGAACCATTTTCAGATCAGCCACTATATATGCCTTTAAAAACTATAATGTTCAATACCTTCCTGATCCTCCACAGGCCAAAATCTTAGGCTTATAGGGGGTTGCACAGAATGCGAAGAAGTCCCATCACTCGGCCATTTACCAAATCTTAGGCTTGTTCATTTGGAAGGCATGCATAAGCTTAAATGTGCTGGAGCTGAGTTTTATGGTACGAAAAGGAAAGAGACGGGGGTGGCTTTGTTTCCAGCACTGAAGCTCAACTATTGATTGAATATTGCCCAGCTCTAATTAAATGGGAGGAACTGCCAAGAGATGAGAAAGTAGCGGTGTTTCCCTGCCTTGAGGAGTTGACAGTTTGGGGGTTGTGAAAAGTTGAGGCGTTTATCTGATGGGCTACACACACCTTGTATGCCATGTCTCCGTGAATTGTTGATTGACAATTGTCATTTGCTCTACTGCTCGGGAGGTTCTTTAATAGGTGATTGTTTAAGATATCAGCTGGTAGCTTCCCATCAGTTATACGAGTAGCTTTCTTATATGTTCGGATTCCAAGGTGCTGATCGATAGTCTAAAAACTTAACATTCACGTTTTGAACCACCTGCAAGTCTTTTTATTAGAGCATCTCCAACTTTAAATTGCCACATAGACATATGCGGTCAACTCTTTCTTTTTTCTTCTAAAATTGAATTTGGTTTAGTTCTTCCAGTACTCTATTAGAGCAAGCAGGACCCAAGTAAGTTCATCTCTCGTTACTGTTTAGTGCTCATTATTGTCGTTTAAACATGCTTTCTTTTTAGGAATTGTTCTGTGTCTGTTGCATTTCACAGTTCTGAGTTGTTTAGTAAGGTGTTGCATAGATATATAGATTCAGTGGTAACCAGTCTCCGGTGCATTATTGTTTGAGGGATGAATACTAAAACGTTCTTTAAACACTAGAAAATTAGCCTTTCAAAACAGAGGTTTTAAAGTTGTTCAAGCAGAGTTTGGTCTACTTTTAACACAATGATAGCCAATTAGCCATTGAAGAGACGCATCAAAGCACTAGATATCTTCCAAGATAAGGAACAGACTGAGCGCCTTAAGAAACTAAAATCATTTCACCTGCTTACAGCCTCTAAACCCCTCTTGATGGGATCTAAGCTACTCAATAAGGACTTTAGAACCATTTTCAGATCAGCCACTATATATGCCTTAAAAAACTTTAATGTTCAATACCTTCCTGATCCTCCATAGGCCAAAATCAACACCATTAACCCCAGAGATTTCTGGCCAGAAAAAAAACCAGAGATCTTTCACCTTTCATGACTCCCTTCATGATCATGAACTGATTTGCAGCTGCACATGCAAATGAAAATAAACAAGCTAGTTGAAAAAGGAATAGTGGTGAAGACCACTGTCCAATTTCACCAACTGCATTTACTGATTTGAACTTCCAACAGAGAATTACCCTAATAATCATATCTTACATTTCCATCTAATCATATGATTATTCTTGGAAAGCATTCACACGTTTAGCTTCAATCAATTTCATTTGAGATATATACATTTCCCTGGAGGTTCTCCATAGGTGATTGTCTTAGATATCTGGTAACTTCCCATCAGTTACGAGTATCTTACTTAGCATATGCTTGCCCTGTACGAAATGTTGTTAGTAAGTTCATGTCAGTCTCTGTTAATTCCAAGTAGTAGTAGTAGTACATAATCATTTAATGAATTGGAGGATTTACCAGAGTGATCGGGGAACCTAATTTGTTGAAGAACTGTCTATTTGCAGTCATTAATTGATTTTAGTTCACGTCCTCAGTGCATTCCTGGCACTGGAAGATATCTTACTACGTTGATGTGTCTATTGAATGTCTATCATTGTAATGAGCAGCGACTATAAGTCTAAGTAGTACATTCAGTTCCAAATTGCACAAACTTCCCTTTGTAATCAATTATACACTTTGGAAATCACTACCCTACTCTGCTTCTCTTTTAGTGTTCTAGTTTGATTTGTTTTACTTTTTAATATTTACTTATTGTGTGTTGTGCTTCTCTACTCTCTAGCTAACTTTTTTTTTAATGATCCAATATACTGGGCGTGTCCATGCCATGTCTGTTGTATATATGCAGATGGACTTTTGTTGTTACTTTGGTTTGATTTGTAGGTTTTCAAAGAGGTCATCAGTCAAAGGAGGAACGGTGTGCAACATATTGTGCAGGTACTTGAGATCTATTTCCTCTGTTGTCCTACAGAGGTAATCAGTTTCTTATTTCTTTGTGGATAATGCATGACATGTTAGGTTTTGTTCAAAAAAATACCCTACGTGCTGATCATATGGTGTATCTTATACTCAAGCCTTAAGACTTGCTTACTTACTGGCCTCAGTAGTACAACTAAATTCAAAATCTATTCTGGTATTCATATGTGACTCAAGGAACTTGAATTTCAAACTTAGTGGTCTATACTTCTCCTGAATCTTGTTTCGAATTCTTTTTTTCCTTTTCTTCTGTTTTTGTCTTCTTCTTCGGATGCTTTTTTTTTCATTCTTCTTTATAAGTGAAGTGTTTCGTACATTTTGAAAGCTTCAATTACCATGGTTTGTTTATATGGAAACTTACAGAGAAAGTACTACATTTTTAAAGTTTCAAATACCAGTTACAGTTTCCAGTTTCATTCATTTTTGTTATGCTAAAATGAACCAATGAACAAAATTGGATCATACGTGCATGTATTTGAATTCCCAGACTTCAAAATGAATCAATGCTTTATTTATGTGGCAATCTATACAATTGCAGGTGTTTATGCGTCTATGGTGTCGTTACAACATTTGTAATTTTCTGTTTCAGATTTTAATTTCTCTCTTTTCCATGCATGGAGAGATACTGGAATCAACACTCAGTATGCTGTATGCTGCCTAACCTTTTGTATACTGCATAGTGCAACCAATATGGTGTTTTCGTGGTGCTGGTTTTCAGCTATATATATGGTATATCATTTGTTGATGTTGAATTATTAATTCTTTTTATTTACCTTATCTTAGAGTACCCTTGACCTGAGTATCCATTTTCCTAACTTTCTTGTTTCTATAATTCAGGTCATGGACTCTTGCATGGTTGCATATGATCACACAGAACAGAGGCCTCTGTTCCTAAAGTTACAGGATAAAATTTCACCAACATTAGCGAGTCTTATTGGATAGCATGTCATTTACTTATGCTTATTGCAATGTTCAGGTAAAGAAATCTTCAGTTATAAGGTTTTTACCGCCATTTGAAAAGTTGAAGGTTATTTTGAACATTTCTTGCTAAGTTGGTCTTGGTTTTATATTGACTATGCATTGCAGAGTCGAGATTGAAAAAGAAACGCATGCACGCAATGTGCCTGTGGTCTACAACTTATTGTTTTGGACAAAATGGTAAGCTATGATCCCTTTAATTTGTTTTCTTGACATTAATTCATCATCAAATCTGAGTTATATTCTTATGAGTTTTGCATCACATTGTCAATTTGTTTGTTGTGGTGCAGTTTAATGAGGAAAAATGCTTTAAATCAACTTCTAGAGATGCAGAAGCACTTTTCGTAGCTATTCAAGCCCTGCATCTAATGATAAGAGTCATTTTTGTTTAGATCTATGGATGCATTTATCGAGTTTTTTGTTACTCTAGTATGTCTCTACTTAGGGTTTAGATCTATGGATGGATGCATTTGTCAGTAAATACTGGAGTAGAAAATCAGTAGGTATTGCTTAAAAACATCCGAGATGAGTTACATGAAAGCGATACCTACCTATTCTTATAATACCACAAGGAATTTCGGAAAGAAATGCTAGGAAATTGTGCTCCCTATTTTCGAATGGTGAAGCCCTCAGCAACATCTTGTCAAGTTTTAATTCCTTACATGTGTTAAATTTATACAAGGCTGAAATTGAGGATTTTCCAAGTTCAATCGGCAACATCTTGTCAAGTTTAATTGCTTTACGCGTGTTCAAAGTTTCTGGAACAAAAATCAGAGAATTGCCAAAATCTATTGGCAAGCCTTATAACCTATAAACGTTAAGAATGTGTAATACACGGCATCTTTGAAGGTTTTCAAAGGAAATGCAAAATCTGATCAACCCAAGGCATGTTTATTTTGACGAGTACGTGGAAGTTGCATTTGGGATGAGACGATTGACTCATTTGCAAACATTACCTTCGTTAACTTTAGATAACGAAAGGAATCATGGAATTGACGAGCTGGGTGGCTTAAACCAATTAGAAGGTGAACTAAGTAGTAGATTTTTGGAACATGCGAGAGAGACAGATGAAATACAGGAATCTAATTTAGCTGGTCAAGCAAATTACAAGGGTTGACGTTACAGTGGGTTATTAGAGGGATATAAACGACAAGGAAATGGATGTATTAGAAGGCCTCCAACCAAACCCTGAGTTGGAAATCTAGAGATTGACAAAATCATGAGTGCTAAATTGGCATCATGGATGATGAGTGGCTTGTTGCCACTCAATTTGAAAGAGATTCGGTTATCCAACTCTGCCATTTGCCAAACCTTAGGCATGTTATATTCCAAACGCAAGCTCTGCCTGAACAATTTCAGAACCTCACTATTAACTTCGTGTTTTAAAAGCTTTGCTAGTATTCAAGAAATTTTTGTTTATCAATTCATCCCTCCAACAACAATATGAGAAACCGCTTACCACTGAATGTATATCTATGCAACATTTTACCAAATTACAACCGTTGGAATTCTTGGTTCTCCCATCTGTGGGAAAGACTAGTGATAATCAGCAGCGACAAAACAGTACAGTCAGTTCCAAATTGCTCAAAACGTCCCTTTGTAATCACCTATACACGTTTAAAATCACTACCATACATCCGCTTCTCTTTTGGCGTTCCTCTTTGATTAGTTTTAGTTTTTAACTTTTAGTTATTGTGTGCGTTGTGAGTTAACTCTTTTCTAATCCAGTATACTGGCTATGTCAATGCCATGTCTGTTGTATGCAAATAGACTTTTATTGTTACTTTGATTTGTAGGTTTTCAAGAGGCCATAAGTCGAAAGGAAGAGCTGGTGTGGAAGATATTGTGTAGGTACTTGAGATCTATTTCCCCTGTTGTCCTACATAGGTGGTGAGTTACTTATTTTTGTGTGGATAATGCATGACATGTTAGGTTACATTCACGAACATACCTTAAGTGCTGATCATATTGCATATCTTACTCAAACCTTAAGACTTGCTTACCTACTCTCATCAGTAATACAACTAAATTCCAAAGCTATTCTGATATTCGATACGTGTAACATGATTCGAGGAACTTGAATTCCAAACTTCGGGGTCAATACTGTTTCTGAATCTTGTTTGAAATTCTTTCCAACTGTTTTTGACGCTATTTTTTAAAAAAATTCTTCTTTATCAGTAGTTAAGTGTTTGATATATTTTCAAAGCTTCAATCACCAAGGTCTCTTCATATGGAAACTTACAGAGAAAGTAGTACATTTTCGAAAAGGTTTCAAATACCAGTACAGTTTCCAAATTCATTCATTTTCGGTATTGCTAAAATTATTATCAGTAAAGAAATTATGGATCATACCTGCAAATATTTGAATGCTCAGAATTGAAAAATGAATCAATGCTATGAACTTGGGTTTTCTAACACAACAGCGTGCCCGTACTTGAAAGTCAGATGAGCAGTGCCTAACGAAGGAAAAGATCATTTTAGGATTCAAATCAAAACACACAGGAGTGACATTTTTGTTAATCCCAAATTAACTCATGATTCTAGTCTAGATAAGGATTCGACTTGAAAAATTGAACCTAGGTTCATATTGATGTAAAAACTTATGGTGCTGCCAATCTTATATTAGGCATAGCTTCTTTCACGTGCCAACACCACTTCTCTGTTACTGGCACTCTACGAAGTAACCAAGAGAAGTGTTAGGCTCCTTAAAATTATTCCTTATGTTTCAATAAGAATTATTATTGGTGAATTGATGTTAACCTCTGCTCACGCTTTAATAGTATTTCTTTTGTTTCAATAAGAATTGTGTTGGCAGGCTTTTGTAATTTGTTTGTTTCATGTATAATAAGTTGATCCTGGTTGCACATTACACAGAACAAGGCTGGCTTGTCATGTCTCATTGAACCAAGACTTGGAGCAGGAATTACAAGAAACTTAGCATTTACGATTACCAGGGATGTCTCTACTTAAGTCAGTAAAGTCAGTAGGTATTGAAAGCTGAAATCAAAACTCTCTCAATTGTCAATCTCTTCTTTTCTTTCTCTTCTTAATTGGTACAGGTATTGCTTTGCTTAAAAACATCCAAGATGAGTTACACGAGAAAAAGTAAAGCAATGCAGAGAAGGCATTCAAGGCATGAAATAATTGACCAACAATAATTGCACCGACAGACACGCAGAGATGGCATTCAAGGCATGAAATACGTAAGTGATGAAACTAAACGGAGCCACCCACCAATATTGAAAATCTTAAGCCCCATTACATGTCGTCTAGCACTTTACCTTTCATAATGTGAGGCCAATATTATGGCAAAGACGATATACCCATCACACCAAATGACTTGAATTTTTTATTTCTATCAAACGGAGGAGAGAGAAACACTCAAACACTGAAACACTGTACTTGCGTCTTCAATCATCTGGTTTCCTTGGCTATCTTTACATTCTCTGCTCTCTCATCTCTGTCTGGCGCGAGTATGGAAGCTGGAAAGGTGTTAGAAGTTCTCTATACTTTTCCTGTCGAGGGAATACTGAACAAGCTGGCTTCACTTGCTGCTCAAGAAATAAGCCTGTTCCGGGGATTCAAAAAGGAACTAACAAAGCTTCGTCAATCATTACTCGAGATTCAAGATTTCTTAGGCGATGTTGCCCACCAGCCTCAAGAACGGGGCAAGGCATTGAAGGACTGGGTGAGAAAACTGAAAGACATAGCTGATGATGCTGACAATGTCTTGGATGAAATCAACTATGAAGATCTTCGCAGGCAAGTAGAACTGTCAAACCAAAAGGGGGAAAAAGGTACGCAACTTCCTTTCCAGCTCCAATCCCCATTTGTTTCGTCAAAAATGGCACATAAAATCAAGAGCATCAACGCATCTTTGTTGGATCTCAAATATGAGGCATCTTTCATTGGACTAGTTTCCAAGAAAATAGATCCAACCCCTCCGGAAATTGGAGGGGCCAGAGAAACCGACTCAATCTTTGAGGAAGATGAAATCGTCGTTGGAAGGAATGAGGATCTGTCAAAGATAATGACAATCTTGACAAACTCCAACTTGGATCAAGAAAATCTTTCAGTAATGCCCATTGTCGGAATGGCAGGCCTGGGAAAGACAACTGTGGCTAGGTCACTATTCAATAAAGATTCTATTTGTGGACATTTTGAGAAGAAAATATGGGTGTGTGTATCTAACACTCTTGAGGTCAATTCGATTTTAAGTTGGATATTAGAATATCTTAACCCAACAAAGGCTGGGATACAACGCCTAGATGCATTGCTTAAAAACCTAGTACAAGAATTGGAAAAAAAGAGATATTTTCTCGTGCTTGATGATGTGTGGAACGAAGAACCTCAAAAATGGAGCAATTTGATGACTTGTTTGTCAAAACTTCATAGTGCCCAAGGAAGCGTTGTTATTGTCACTACGCGCAGTGCCAGTGTTGCATCAATCACGAAAAAAAGTACTCCAATGTATGTTTTGAGAAGTCTATCTGTTGATGATTGTTGGGACATATTGAAGAAAAGAGCATTTCCAGATGGTAATGCTCCTATTGCAAAAGATCTAGAAACAATTGGAAGGGAGATTGCCAGGAAGTGTGCTGGTATACCTTTAACGGCAAAGGTACGTAATGATATATCAATTTGAAGTTTCTTGCATTTCTTTATTTGTTACAAGTACTAAAAGTATTCAGATAATTTACATACAAGATATTCAGCTATAGCCCCTTGCAACTAAAATAGTCTAGACAAAAACTCACTTACTTTTTTAATTTTAACTAAAACCCAAAATTAATTGAACGACAAATTGTCCATTAGTATTGAATTATTTATTAAGGAGAAACTCCTTCTTGCCTACCGATGATTAGGCATATGTAGTTAAAAATAATAGGTATGTACTAAGAAAATACAAATGTTACATTATAATATATATAGGTATATATAGGTACCTAGATTTGCAAGTTCAACAATTTTCCTAGATATTTCCTAAGAAAATTGTAGGTAAATTATAAGGTACCTAAAACACAAGGATCAAGACCTATAAAGAGCAAAACGTGTTCTTTCTCTTTGAAAAATTAATTTCAAACTTTGATATAAGTAAAAGGAACAAACTAACTAATCAATTTGAAAACAAAAACAAAAATTATCACGCAGTCAAATTTGGAAACACATCATTTACTCATTGTTTGAATATATATTCCATTAAAAAATCTTTAATTATATAGAAAAAAAAGACCCCCCAATCCCTAAATTTATGCCAAATTGAAATACCATTACTGGCATTGACTTGCAAATAATTTGTTGAAAAAAATATTGTTACAATGTACTTAGCATAGGGTTTTATTTATATAAAAAAAATGTTTTATTTATGGAAAAATAAGGTGATGTGTTGTAGGTAAGAAAAACTGCGTTTGAAGGGGAAAACCCAAATTTACTATTTACACACATGAACATTGGCTAAGAGGATTAAACATTCCACAAAATAACAGTTTTTGGTGAAATGTTAACATTTACTGGTAACATACAACTAAGTTTTTTGAAAAAACAAATGATGTTTCCTGTTATTATAGCCAAGTCACCTAGTTAATCTTTAATATATATACACTAATTAATTTATGTACCAACAGGTTTTGGGAAGCATGATGCGTTCTAAATATAGTATCAATGAATGGTTGGAAATTCAAAAAAGTAAGATGTGGGAATTACCAGAAGGAGATGAAAGAATAATGTCGATTTTGAAGTTGAGTTTTGATAATTTGAAATCACCTTCTTTGAAACAGTGTTTTGCATATTGCTCAAATTTCAAGAAAGATTTTGAAATGGAAAGGGCAGACTTGATCCAGCTATGGATGGCTCAAGGATTTCTATGTTCTTCTCATAACAAAGATATGGAGGATAAAGGTGATGAATATTTTACGATTCTGTTGCAAAACTCCCTCTTTCAAGATGTTATAAGGGATGACTTTGGTACTATTATCTATTGCAAGATGCACGATCTTGTACATGATCTTGCTGAGCTTGTATCAAGATCTGAAATGGAAGATAAACTTGAGAATCAACACGTGACATGGGATCCTTCCAAAAGTTCCAAAAGAAACTTTGAGAAACGGCGGTCACTGTTTGTGAATGGTGATCAAGCCATTAGTAATAATACATTACTCATAAACTTTAAAGCTTTGCGTGTTTTAAATTTGTACAGGGCTGATATTGAGGAGCTGCCGAGTTCAATTGGCGTCTTGATACATTTGAGGTATTTGAACGTTTCTCGAACAAAAATCAAAGAACTCCCTAAGTCTATTGGCAAGCTTTATAACCTACAGACATTAAGAATGGAGGATACATGGAATCTTAAAACGGTTCCAAAGGAAATGGAAAATTTGATCAACTTGAGGCATGTTTAGATGTGGGTTTTTTGAAGTACCTTGAATGATGAATGAAGTCGTCTATTTATAGGAGCCTCGGGGCTAGGGTTTCGTAGAGAATATGCTGAGTTTATTCTCTACCCAAATTCGTAGGGATCGAGTCGGACTTAGATAATATTTGATTTAATGATATTATCTTCTCTTTATTGAAGATAATATCTTAATTAAATGATATTATCTCTTTTTATGAAGATAATATATGAATTAATGATATTATCTTCTCTTTATTATGATAATATCTAAATTAATGGTATTATCTCATTAAATAAAGATAATATCCCATTAATTAAGATATTTATCCCAATTAATTAATTAGCCAGATAAACTGGTTCAATTAATTAATTTAAGAGATAATCTTCTTTTCCACGTGGCGTGCCTTGATTGGAGACGAAAATATTTGCTCCCACACACATTATACCGAACAAGGCTGGCATGTCATGTCTCATTTACGATTAACAGGGATGTCTCTACTTAAGTCAGCAAAGAGCGAAGTACAAAGTCAGTAGGTATTGAAAACTGAAATCAAAACTCTCTCAATTGTCAATTGTCAATTCTCTTCTTTTCTTTCTCTTCTTAATTTGTACAGGTATTGCTTCCTTTGCTTAAAAACATCCAAGACGAGTAGTCATTGGCGGACTCAGGAAATTTTTAGAGAAGGGGCAAAATTTGAAAGGCTAAAAGCTATTATAAAAAAATATATATTACCAACTAATACCATCTAAAATTCGTAGCTACATGTACATGCGGCCTTCATTTGTACCCTTCCACAAGCCTCAAACTCCTAGTTCCTACCAAAATTTTAAAGGGCGATATCCTTTTGGTGGCTTAAAGTCAGGTGTGAGCCTTGAGATATTGAGACGTAAGCCTTTCATAACATGAATTTTTTTTCCTTCTAAGAAATACGTTTAAGTTTTCATATTAGGCTAGACTAATGTAATATCGAATAATGAAGATGTTCCAAAAAAATTAATAAAGGTTTTACTACAGACAAAAGGCACCATTGCATTTAAAATAACAAAACCTAATAATATGATTATGAGAGAGTACTATTGCTCACGATGACATGACTTGAAAGGAAGGGATGGAGAGCATCCATCGTTCCATTCTTTATTATTTTTTTTTAAGATCTGTCTTAGATTATCTTCAGGAGGCCAAATCGATTTCTGACCAGCAAGTTTCCATAGGAGAACCAGTCTCTGATACAGACTTGGTTAACACCGTTCTTCGAGGCCTTGGTGATGGGTACGAGATGTTGGTGACAACTCTTGAGAGCCTAAACACTCTTCCTGATTTTAGTGCTCTACGATCTCGTCTTCTGACTCAAGAGTCCCTCCATCGACCTACCATTTCCTCTTAATAGGTTGCCTTGCTTGCTTCCCAGGGTACCTCCTGGCCTTTCTTCTCAAATTATGATTCACGAAACAATAACAGGCACAGTAATTGGAACCACAGGAATAATGGTCGTCGAAACAACTCTGGTTCTCGTTCCTCGGCTCTTGGTGTTTTGGGTACAACACCCACCGCCTCTTGTCAGCTCTGACATGGCTCAAATCATTTTGCTTTGATATGTCCTATGCTCTCTCAGTTTGCCCGTCCACATGTGCCCACTCCTTGCACACTGCATTTGCTAGATTACATATTGCAGGACAGCTGCAAACCCCTCATTCACCTGGTCCCACTTATACCACTCATTCTTTGCATGACCCTTCTTGGTTGCCAGCATTCACATGATTGGGAATCTGAGCCTTCTCCAGCAATGTCTCCCGAACAATGGTCATGATACAGTTCACCATGGCAATGGAGATCAAATGCTTATTTCCTATACGGGTAACATGTCACTCTCCATTGGCTCCAACTATGTCCAATTAAACAATGTTTATGTGATTCCTTTCATGCGTAAAAATCTTCTGTCTATTGCACAACTATTTTACGATAATAATGTTTTGTGTGCCTTTGATTCTCAACATTTTTGTATTTTTTATCGCTCTAATGGTTCTCTCCTCTTTCAGGGCCTATGTAAGAACGGTCTCTACAAGCTTCCATCTCTTCCTTCTCGTATTACGTGTTTATCTGCTTCTCTTCAGTCATCATCTATATGGCACAATCGCTTAGGTCATCCCTTCTAGTAAAATAATGTCATTTTTAGGCAAAAATCACTTGTTAGGTTCCCAATTTAAATTCCAAAAATCTTTATGTAAAGGTTGTGCTTTGGGTAAATCCACACAACTTCAGTTTAAAAATTCTAATGAAACACGCACTGATTCTCCTTTTTCTCTTATGCATTCTAATGTTTGACAAACTCTTATTTCTTCTGTTAAAGTCTATAAATATTATGTGTTGTTTACTGATGATTTTACTCGATTTACTTGGCTATATTTCATGAAACATAAGTCTGAGGTTCTTTTCCATTTTAAGAATTTTTTGTCATACATTACGACCCAATTCTCTACTTCCTTAAAACAGTTTCAAAGTGATGGTGGCAAAGAATATGATAACGAGGCATTTCGAGCACCCTGCTCCTCTTATGGAATTCATCATCGCTTTTCTTGCCCTCATACTCCTCAACATAATGACCTTGCTGAACCCAAGCACCGTCACATTGCTGACATGTCTCGCACTCTTCTTCTCTCGAGTTAGGTTCCTACTTGTCATTGGCTTAATGTCGTCTCCTCTGCTGTTTTTATCATCAATCGTCTTCCTTCACATGTTCTTCACTGGTCTTCTCCTTATTCTCGTCTTTATGGAAAAATTTCTTCATATGCCTTGATCGCACTACTGGCCGTCTCTACATATCTTGCTTTGTTCGCTTTGATGAGCATTCATTTCCCTTTGCTTCATAGAAATGTTTGCCTCATCCTAGTGAATGGGTAGTAGTCCCTGTTTCACCTAGTGTGCCCCCTCATGCTACTTTACCAAATCCCACCTTGCCATCTGCTACAGAGGCATCATCTTCCCCACACGTGGCCCCTATTTGGACATACTAGCACCGCCCACATCCACCTCATGATCCGCAGTCTCATTCTGCATTATCCTCTCCTACAGCTCCCCAGCCCACTGTTGATAGGTATACTTCTGATTCTGGTTCGCATGTTGTTGTGTGTCATCCTATGCTTACTAGCTACCAGGCTGGTACTTTTCACCCTCGAGTTCATACTAACGGCACCATTCGGTATCCTATTCCCAGTGCTTTGTTGTCTCATGCTTCTCTTACTCCCGAAGAACCAACTTGTTTCTCGCAGGTTGTTCATTTTCCTGAATGGCGTGAGGCCATGGTTATTGAATTTAATGCTCTTCTCAAGAATCAGACATCGGTTCTTATTCCTCCTTCTCAGCAACAAGTGGTTGGATGTAAGTGGGTTTTTAAGCTTAAACGGAAGTCAGATGGGTTTATTGAGAAGTACAAGGCTTGCCTTATTGCTAAGGGGTTCCATCAACAACCTGGTATTGATTTTGATGAGACTTTTAGTCCTGTGGTGAAGCCCACAACAGTTCGAACCATTCTAGCTCTGGCAGTTTCCTTTGGTTGGCCTCTTCGTCAACTGGATGTGAAGAATGCATTTCTTCATGGTTATTTAGACATTATTGTTTTTATGTCTCAACCTCCAGGGTTCGTTGACCCAACTCGCCCTACTGATGTATGTCGGCTTCATAAAGCCATTTCTGGTCTCAAGCAGGCTCCTCGTGCTTGGTTTCAGCGACATAGTGGCTTTTTACTCCAATTTGGGTTTGTTCAGAGTCGAGCCGATCCCTATTTATTTATCTTTGGCCATTCTTATGACATTATGGTTCTCTGCTTGTATGTTGAAAATATTGCTCTGACAGGGAATCAGCCATTTCTCATCTCCTCATTTGTTCTTACACTTGGTCAAGAGTTTGAACTTACTGATATGGGTCCATTCTCTTATTTCTTGGGGATTGAAGCCACCTCTACCATCTCTGGCCTCCTTCTCTCACAAACCAAATATATTGTTGATCTTCTCAAACGACATTCCATGACTGATTGTAAGCCTTGTAGTACTCTGATTTGTGCATCTCGTCAGCTATCCTCTCTTGCTAGTGAGTTACTTTCTGATGCAATTGAGTATAGGCAGCTTGTGGGCTCCCTTCAATATCTCACTTTCACTAAACCCGACATGTCCTTTGATGTTCATCATATTGTTCAGTTTATGAGCGCTCCTCGTTCTCCTCACTTGGTTGCAGCTAAGCGTATTCTTCATTATTTGAATAGCACTCTTGGTTTTAGTCTTTCCTTTAGTCGATCTCCGAAGAGCACTCTTAGTTTTGGTCTTTCCTTTCGTCGATCTCCGAGCCCCTTTACTCTTCGTGGTTTCTCTGGTTCTGATTGGGCTGGTTGTCCTGATACTCATTGTTCGACCACTGGTTTTTGTGTGTTTGTTGGTTCCAATCTTATTTCTTGGTGTGCTAAGAAACAATTGACAGTTTCTTACTCCTTTGCTGAGGCTGAATATTGTTCTCTAGCTCATGTTTGTGCAGATACTACATGGATCTCTCATCTCCTTCATGAGTTGGCACTTCCTCCTTCTGTACCAACCTTATTGTTGTGTGACAATCTCGGCACTATCTATATGGCTTCCAATTCGATGTTTCATGCTCGCCCTAAACATATTGAACTCAATTACCACTTCATTTGGGAGCGCATTATCTCTGGCTCTCACCGAGTTCAATTTGTTTCCTCTTCTGATCAGTTCGCTGACATCCTCACCAAGGGCCTTTCTACACATCGTTTCCAACTCCTTCGTTCAAATCTCGTCTCTTCCACATCATCAGATTTTGGGGGGGAGTGTTAGACAACATCCCTAATTTATAGCTAATTGATGTATATACCGTTTATATCTCTCCAGTCAACTATATTAATTATCAATCCCTATAAACTAGGAATTCCTTTATATATATTTTAGAAAAGTTGATAGAGGTCCAAAAATCCAACCCAACTAACCAATAGTTGGGTCTAGTCCTCGAATTATTATTTATTGATACAAGTCATTTGACTAGTTTGCCACGTAGATTACATTCCATTTTTGACATGTTGATTCAAACTTTTGTATTTAACTTTTTTGTATTTAAATTTTTTGTTCCTATTATATCCCTATTGTCTAAAATGAGTAAGATGAGAATTTATATGTCATAATGATTAGATTTGATCATGTACAATTAAAGGAATAATTACATTTTGAATGTAAATGTCGAACCTTCATTTTTTTTCCTTGAATTTAGCTTATTAACCAGATGCACGCTTTTCTTTCTTGCTCCTCATCTCTATCTTCTTCTTTCTCCATTTCTTCTTCTTTTCTTCATTTATATATACCCTATGGTATAGAGTGTTGATCTTGTACGGTCAATTGACAATCTACACATTGCCACATATAATTCTAAAGCCTCCTCATGCTGATGATTTTGAATGTAACCCAAGATCATGGCATTCCATATTACAAGATTCCTTTCCCCTTTCGTTTTCTTCTAAAAGTTGTAGGTAATTATTTCTATTTTTGTTCACCCTATGGTAGAGGTATAGTATATACTCTTGTAGATAAATTATCCTATGGTGTAGGTATATTATCATATTGCCTATTGCAAAGGTATATATTTGTTTTTTCATATTTTAGACAATGAATAATAGTATTTTATGTACATTGTTTTATAGGTAACATACAATTTTATTTGTCTATTTTTGTGTCTGACTTATAGGTAGTCTTCTAATTTATGTTCCTAACTTATATGTAGTATTCTAATTTATGTTCATGCCTTATAGGTAACACAATTTATCACTAAGTTTTTTTCGTTGTCAATAAGAACACTATTTACCTGTATGTTAGGTACATAATTTAATGTGGGTGTTTGCCTAATTTATTAGTATAATATGTGGGCCTTTACTTTCATTGATTATTTTGTATTTTACTCATATATTAGGTAAATATTATCAATGAAAGAATTCCAAATTTAAATTCTGAAATTTAATTACAAGTAAATAATTCATTAAATTTAGATTTTCAATATTTTCCTTATTTACCTCAAAGGGTAAAATCGACACAATAAAAAGAGTAATAAAAGTCAAAGGACCTACATCTAAAACAAAAAACGTTTGGACTAAACCCAATGACAACTAATCATTTTGAATCTAGATCTAAAAACCCCTTACAAATTAGAATTCGCCATATTTCATGCCTTGCTTTCTTACCCAAAAATAATACTTGAGAACCAACACTCAAGTCCTCATCAGCGGCTGGAGACCTCATCCTTACAACTATATTTCATAATATTATATTTCTTCACATAATTAACCAAACAAGAAAATGTTGGAGGTTTATGGTAAATATAAGACTAAGACATGCACAAAGCATACAAGTACAATCCTTATAGGTTTGGTTTGGATGTCGTCTCTTGTTGCGACCATTTGCTTTCTCTTCGTCCAATCTTTTAGAAGTTACTTTCACTATAAAATTCTCTTAAAATCGAAAAAATAATTGTTGTATAGAAATGTCATATATGGCAACTTCACTTAAGAATTTCTCCTAATTTTCAGTATATTTTATTTGACCTGGCCTCGTGCAAGGTCACCAACAATTATTGTTGGTGTGAATTTTTACACATCCTCAAGGATTAAGCCAATGATATGAGTGGTGGAAGTATGCCGGTTATAAGGAAAACAAGGCAACTTGGACTATCTAAATGACATTGCTTTTGTCACAAGCATTTTAGATTTTCACCTACCAACTATAAAGGTTACGTACCTACCCACCACTCTCCTACCTTGATTTTGATAGAGCCCATCGATTCTCTTAAAAACCATTTGAGAGACCAACTCTCTTGCCACCATTTCAAGCCTATATAAAAACCCAATTCCCTCCTTTCAATTCTCAAACTTTAAACATACCAGTACTTCCTTTGTCTAAACCCACAACCTCTCTCTCTCTCTATCTCTCTCTCTCTCAGCATGGGTTATGTAGTTTCCAAATCCACCGTTTGCACTCTTCTCACATTCACATTGCTTTCATATTTCACCAAAGTCTCAAGCTCTCATCTTTCCCTCCCTCTTCCTCCAACTTTCTCAATCATATTCCTCCCACTAATTCCCATTATTGCCTACTTCTTGATCCACTTCATCTCCAACCATTCCTCAAATCTTCCTCCAGGTCCTCTCTCCATCCCAATCTTTGGCAATTGGCTCCAAGTTGGCAATGATTTAAACCATCGCCTTCTTGCATCCATGTCACAAACCTACGGCTCCGTATTCCTCCTCAAACTTGGCTCCAAAAACTTGGCTGTCGTATCAGACCCCGCCCTAGCCACCCAAGTCCTCCACAACCAAGGCATAGAGTTTGGCTCCCGCCCTCGAAACGTGGTGTTCGACATATTCACCGGCAATGGACAAGACATGGTCTTCACCATCTACGGGGATCACTGGCGTAAAATGCGTCGAATCATGACGCTGCCATTTTTCACTAACAAAGTTGTGCAGCATTACAGCAACATGTGGGAGGTGGAAATGGACCAAGTTGTGCATGATCTAAACAAAGATGAAGGAGCGAAGACAGAAGGGATAGTAGTTAGGAAGCGTCTGCAATTGATGTTGTACAATATTATGTATAGGATGATGTTCAATGCCAAGTTTGAATCACAAGAGGACCCTTTGTTCATTGAAGCTACCAGGTTTAATTCTGAGAGAAGTCGGCTGGCTCAGAGCTTCGAGTATAACTATGGTGATTTCATTCCTTTGTTGAGACCATTTCTAAGAGGGTACTTGAACAAGTGCAGAGACCTGCAGAGTAGGCGGCTGGCTTTTTTCAACCATTATTTTGTTGAGCAAAGAAGGTAATTTCCATTTTTTTTTCTCCTCAAATTTGTGTTATGTATGTTCGAACTTAAGAGTAATGCTAGCTAGTGATACCACGTTGGTTACCACACCTCTTACGGACTATATAGTTAGATAAGTCGGTTTTAATGTGAAAGATATGATCAGTAATGTGATCAGTAAATGTGGTACAAATAGTTCTTTCACGTAATTAATGGTTTTTATATCCGCTTTGATCTAAACAAGTTACATAAGCAAAAAAATTTGTGTTTACAGGAAAATTATGGCTGCCAATGGAGAGAAGCACAAGATAAGTTGTGCCATCGACCACATAATAGATGCTCAAATCAAGGGGGAAATCAGTGAAGAAAATGTGCTCTACATTGTGGAGAACATTAACGTTGCGGCAATAGAAACAACACTATGGTCCATGGAGTGGGCCATAGCTGAGCTAGTCAACCATCCAACCATTCAAAGCAAGATCCGTGATGAAATCTCAATCGTCCATAAAGGAGCTCCAGTAACAGAATCCAACCTGCATGAGTTACCATACTTACAAGCCACGGTAAAAGAGACATTAAGATTACATACCCCAATACCTTTGTTAGTACCTCATATGAACCTTGAAGAAGCAAAGCTAGGAGGGTACATCATCCCCAAAGAGTCTAAGGTGGTTGTCAATGCATGGTGGCTGGCCAACAACCCTGCATGGTGGAAAGACCCTGAGGAGTTCCGACCGGAGCGGTTCTTGGACGAAGAATGCGGTACGGAGGCCGTGGCAGGAGGGAAGGTCGATTTTCGGTACTTGCCATTTGGCATGGGAAGGAGGAGCTGCCCCGGGATCATACTTGCATTGCCAATCCTAGGCCTTGTCATTGCCAAATTGGTGTCAAATTTTGAGATGAAGGCTCCTCAAGGGGTGGAGAAGATTGATGTGAATGAAAAAGGAGGGCAATTCAGCTTACACATAGCAAACCATTCAACTGTTGTATTCAACCCGATCAAGGCATGACTTGATAACAAATCTGTTTAATGGTTGATCAAGATTTAAATGCTAAAGCAACATATAAATGTTCTGTGCTACTATTGGTAATTTCCATTTTTCCTTTATGTACTCCGTTAGGAAATAAAAGCTCTCTTTCGTTATACAATTATAATTTATATATTATGTTGTCAGATTATCAATAATCACTATTTCATTATTGAATATTATCAAATTTTCAAACATAACCATTTGGCATTGTTAAATGAATTCAGGTCTTTGCACAACTTGAGAATCCATTTAAGCTTGTTATACAAAACTTGTTTCGAAGGTTAATTATGTTGATGGTTATCAAACGAACCCTCGGTTTCTTTGAGATTAAAAAGGAAAGATGAAGTTATTTGGATTGTTGGCTTTAATCATCATACTACAAATTCGATTGAATGCTCAAATCCAATTAAACATAGTGGAATCTCCATTTGGGTCCAACCTGATATTCATCCATGAATCATGGATAATAAAGAGGGCCCAAACTCAAGCAGATTATCGATAAAAAGACTTCCAACATCTTTAATTTTCATTAATGCTTCTATAGTTTTATTTTTCCACAAAATAAAAGAAAGTCCATTTTTTAAAATTTGAAAAATGTGGATACAATTGATGGGAAAAAAAAAAAAAAAAAAAAAAAAAAAAAAAAAAAAAAAAAAAAAAAGAGAAAAAAAAAAAAAAAAAAAATATATATTTGGCAAAGAAAGAAACATGATACAACAAGAACAAAAACACACTACCGTGAAGGAAACCTTTGTCTCCAGCATGCATGTGATGGCCTGCGGGAAGAAATCTACAGATAAAGGGAGTTCGCAAACATGATACCTCGCCGAAGGCTTTCACTTGCTCCAGCAAATTTCTCCTCTAAAGCAACTTCTCCTACAGCATGAGCGGCAGTACGCAACTGAAAAAAGTCCAGTCCGTTAAAACTGTAAGATAATTTCTAATGTTATCCCCATTCTGAAGGA